TATTATTAACTTATTATAGTTTGTGTGGTGTGTTGGTCTAAAATGCAATGAACATGTTATTACACATGAGCATATGATGTTCCAGGTAGCTAGTCTTAGCATTTAGTTGCTAAAAAAAATAAAGAAAGTTTTATGGTTCGGTTATTTTGTTTAAAAATATATACAGGGAATCTTATGTAATGTAATAGTACTTCTTTTAAAATACTTAGACATGTGATGTAAATAACTAAATACATTTATAGTTTTAAATGTTTTTTCTTATATTTAAATTTGATTGTTGTGAAGATGTTTCACATTTTCTATTAAAATCAATTATAAGACGAGCTATTTTAAATTTAAATTTGAATTAAATAATATATTTTTTACAAATATTAATCATTCTTAATAATTATAACTCTAATATGTTTTAGAAAATTATAATAGAGAATTTCACTCATATACATATTTATGATTTATATTAAAATATAACTAAATTTTCTTATTTAAAAATAAAAATTTCTTAAGATTAATTTATGACTAATATAATTATCCTATTATAATTAAAAAAATTAATGAAAAGTAATTTGAAAGAAAACAATAATAATATTTGAGGATTATTTTGCCAATAGATAAATAAATATCTTGTTTGATGTTCTTCTAGGAACGAAAGTGTCTCGAACTCATGTCCATTATGGTAGCATCATTAAGGTTAATTTTCATATCTAGGTATTGTCCGTTTTGAAAGTCTAGTTTGTCACAATTTTATTTAAGGTGTCTCAGTGAGTTAAGAAAAGAGTATGTATAAAACTACCATTGTCTAAACTCCTAAGCAATGTGAGATTTGTGAACGTACTAGAATATAAACCCCTAATCGATGACTAAAATGTATGAGTGAAACAAGACTTTACTCTCAATCCTATGATAAACACCAGTGTTTTGTATAGGAATGAGAACAATATCTCAAATATGAGAATTGACTCTAACGATATCATAACATATATAAGATCGGAAAATTCTCGTTTTTAAATAAAATATTTGATAAATATGCAAATTGATGCAAGAGTAAGAAAAGAATATACTTGATAAAATCCAAATTTTTTAATGTAAGATTTATTTTTGATGATATTTAATGAAAGTTTTGTCACATTTACTCCACTAAATTATTTTAGCTTGCAAATGTAACACGAAATAAATTGTTAGATTCTTGTTAAACAAATGTAATATGAGATTAAACAACTTAAGTATAGATGATGATAATCCATTTTATTATTTGGTCTTAAGAAAATATTACCAATTTCTAATGATTGCATGTGAGAAACATAACAAATTGTTTGTCATGGAAAATATTAAACATTAATTTTTAAAGTTTTAAAACTAAATTTATTGCTTAAAAATATATAAGAACATTGATCATGTTTAATAAATTTTACAAGAAAATAAATATTTTTCCGTTTTTTTTATGCTAAAAAGGATCAAAGATGTAATAAATAATTGAAGCTAGAGTAAATAACTATGTTAATCCACAAATATATAATAAATGATCACACTAGTCCTTAAAAAAAATTATCAATATATATCCAAAATTTTCAATTATTACATTTAATTATTAAATTTAATCACCAACTACTATTTTTTTTAATTTTATCGATGAAATGTGCTTTCATGTTTAAATTTTCTTTAATTTTAAGGATGAGTGTGATACCCAATATATTATATTGGAAATTAAATGATGTTATATTATTTTATTGGTAATTATTTTGAATGATGATTAGTTCTTAGTTAAAGTTATTTCCCATATATACTTTTTTTTTCTTCGCAAATTATTTTTGAGGTCCAAAGTATCCTTGATCATAATAAGATTACGTAAGGAAATAAATTTTAATTATTTTGTTACATATTAAGTGAGATATAAACTTTTTAATGATTAAAATTCTGAATTATCCCATCAAGCTTTATTTAGGTGTAGAAAACATATTTCTTATAAATCATTTAGAAGAATAAAAACTTGAAAATTATTGATTAAACATTAATTTAAAGGGTTTTTTTTCTATTTATATTTAACGATTTATCCAGAGATCTTCTTCCGACGGGAAGGGTGCAACCAAATAAAGCATCCATAATTATATTTGTATAATTATTTACACTACATCCAAAGGATATTTTTTAATTGATTTTAGTATTATAAAAAATATCATTATTTATAATATAATAAAAAAGTTATTATAATTTATACATTTTAAAAAAATGATATGTGTACTGAGTAGAGAAAAGACTAGATATATTTAAAGAATTTAGACAAAATAAAATAAAATTTTAAAAATAATTATAAAAAAATTTAGACCATAGACATTCACTAGTATTTTATTATATTGTTGATTTACTTTATAATTTCATTTGTCTTTTGTGAGGAAAGTTTTAAGTTTTATATAATAAGATATTTTTTTGGTATTTAATTAGAAGCAAATGAAAAATTAAATTTTTGGTGAGATGAGTTAATAATTTTAATTTATTAATCCATTTTATTTTATCTAATTTTTATTATATTATTATGAATAATCAAATTATTATTATATTTTTTCTTCTACATGTAGGAAAATTTTAAAGAGTTGCAGAGTTTTTTTTTTTTTTACCAACTAGGGTCTTTTTTTCATCACCGGCGTGTGATGCTATCCACCTTCATAGGTACTTCTCTTAATATAGAACCTTTACTTCCGATTTTATGTAAATTTTTCTAGTTTATTCCAATATTTTCTACTTATTACTGAACAATTTTTAAATATTAAACAAATCTCTCAAAAGTAATTTTAATAAGATAATTCAACATATTAAGAATAAGATAATACAGATCGGACTTATTTTTAAAAATATTTATATATTTAAATTAAAATAAACAATATAATTAAAAATATTATAATTTTTATTATTAAAATATATAAATATATTATAATTTAAATTATAAATAATAATCAATTAAATATAAGTTATTAATTATTATTGATTATAATTAAATATTTTAATATATAAATATAATATTTTTTTATTTATCTTATAAAAATATGAATTAATGTATAAAAACTTAAAAAAATTCATATAATAAAAGATAATTAATATAAAAAAATATATATGAGCGTGCTGTCGGTCAATGTTTTCTTTTAATAAGATGAACTAAGATTTATAATTCTCCTAATTATAATAAACTAATTTATTTTATCTATTTTTTATGAATTAAAAATATAATAAATTAAAATCAATTTATCTTTTCTTATTTTTTATAAATTAGAAATGGAATAAGTTGACTCACTTTACTACTAATTATATATTGTTTATCCGACATTTCATAAAACAAATTATTTTAAAGAATTTGCATCTTTAATAAGATGCCTAACTTGTTGTGTAATAATAAAAGAAATATCTATATCTTATATAAATAATTATAGTAAAATCAATTTAACTGATAATAATTTTTTTTAAATATTAATAACATAACTTTTATAAGTAATTTTGTTTTAAAAAATGGAAACAAAATATTTTAAATTATCTCAATAACTAACCATATATAAAGAGAAATCACTTTTTATAATTATATATATTTTTTAATCACACATTTTGTAAAAAATTTTCAAATATAAAATAATGAAAAAAGAAATTTCTTTCTTATTCTTCAATAATAATAATAATAATAATATTATTATTATTATATAAAAAGATTATATTATGAAACAACTTTTGAATGGAGAGAGAAAAACTATTGTATATCTTTTTCATATACTTTTTATAATATGTTTTCATTAATTTTTTTAATGTAAAATAAAAAATAAAAAATAGTATTTATTCTTTATTCCCTCACACATTCACCCCAGTTTCTTTTTTCTTAAAATTCTAAATCATGTTTATTTATCTTAACTTTTGAAATAAATATTTATATTTTAAAATTAAAATATTTATATGTCTGCCAGTATATATAATAAATCTATTTAATATAACACATATTGGACATATTATATAATAATATACTAATTTATAATATAATATTAATTTAAATTATATTGAGATACTAATTGAAGGACAAATAGAAAGTGTAAACTACTTATTCATCTACTTTAATAATTTCATCTATTTTCTCATAATATATTTAAAAATATAAAAAAATGTAATTAAAGTTATTTTTTCTCTTCAGTGTCACTTTTATATAAGCTTTTACGCCTTTATTTAAGTATTGTTTTCGCTTAAATTAAAATTTTATTGATGATTTGTGTTTTGAATATTTTATTGATGATTTATGTTTTGAATATATAGTACGTAATATATTTAAAAATTTCATAAAAAAATATTTTTATTTTATATTTGTAATATTTTGAATTGTTAATTTTGAGATATATTTATAAAAAATATAATAAAAAAATAGTTTTGGATCGACTAATCCATGATTATTTTTGAATTATATTTTCTACGATATTTTTGATTTAATAATTTAAAATTCATTTATGAATTTTTTTCTGGATTTAATAATTTTTAATTTATTTTTAAATTTTGTTTTCTAAAAATATATTCTAAAATATTGGAATCGAAATATATTTTAAAAAAATACAATAGATAATATAATTTATAAATTATTTTTAAATTGTATTTAAAAAAAACTCAGAAAAGTTTTAGATTATCCTTTCTACAAATATTGTGGAATCAGTTTTTTGAAATACCTGACAATTTTATTCCAAAACATTTCCCAAAAAGCTTATAAAATGTTGAATTCAAAAAAATTTCAAAATAAATTTTATATTAAGAATAATATTATTATTTTAGATAAGAAACTTTATATTAAGAATAATATTATTATTTTAGATAAGAAAGAAATAGCGAAGCTTATTACTGAACGGCCCATTGAATAAATGGGTTCAGAGGCCCACACTTTAAAGTTTGAAAGAGGGAGTTAGAAATAGTGGCGGTAGCAGAGTGAGGTTTTGGCTTAGGGTTTCTTCTTCCATTGTTCAGTCAGTGTTGTTTTCAGAGAGAGTGATAGCGTAATGAGAGGAATACAGTTACCGTTAAGCCAAACTCAAAAGGTTCGTCTTCAGAAGGCTCTAGAAAAGTTAGAATCTATCTCATCCAAGGTCAACTCCGCTGCTTCAGTCATCATTGCGGATTCCATTCCCGTCAACCACGAAGACGGCGTCCTCAAGGGTCACGGAACCATCGACCTCAACGGCGAAGTCGTCGCCACCATCTGCGGCGTCGTCGAGCGCGTCAACAAACTTGTCTATGTCCGCGCGTTACGCTCCAGGTTTAATCTTCTTTCTTAACTTCTCAACTTCTTTCTGTTGCATCTTCGTTAACGGGATGATGTGATAAACCGTAGGTATAAACCTGAGGTTGGTGACATTGTTATAGGGCGTGTTGTTGAGGTATGAATCAATAGTTTCACTTGCAAATTTTTTTGTTTGTTTGTTACTGTTCTCTCACTGTTTTTATTTTAATGGTTCTAGGTTGCTCAGAAGCGTTGGAGATTGGATATAAATTTCAACCAGGATGCAGTTTTGATGCTTTCTTCTATGAATATGCCTGATGGTGTCCAGGTATTTAATAACACATTTTGGGGGATATACCTTGTAATGTTTTATCACAAAAGCATCTTTAATTTATATAGCTAAGATAACTCTGATTTTGAGGAAATTTAGGGTCGTTTGCCTGTACTTTTTCAAAATAAAAGGGTGTATTGACTTTTTATCGAAACTGTGTTTAATTATTTAAATGAAAAGGATGTTTTCTGCCCCCAATTAAGCTGGAAACCCTCTCATTCAGCATTAATCTTATCCATGCTAGAGGCGGAGGACAGCGCTGGATGAGCTAAACATGCGTTGCATTTTTGAGGAGAACGATGTTGTTTGTGTAAGTCTTGTGTTGTGTATACTGAAAATTAATTTCATTCGTTGAAGGAAATGATGGTTGATTAGTGCTCCTAAACGATGTATGTGACCCCAGGCTGAAGTTCGGGGTTTCCAGCATGATGGCTTACACCTTCAAGCAAGGAGTCGGAAATATGGAAAGGTGTGCAGCCTTGAAAATCGTCATTTATCATATTACCTTATTTTTACTTTCTTCTGTTTTCACCTCGAAATGTAGTAACACATTGCATAAAGTAGGAGACGTAGAACATGTACTCTTTGAAATGGGCATTGTTGATTAGAAGATATAAAAGTACACTGCTAGTCTGCTTTTATGTCCCAACTATGTTTTTCTGATTGAGGTACGAGGAAGATATTTTGAAGTGAGGGTAAATATAATTGTAGTTTCCTAGGTTCTTACAGGGTGTATATATATAGATTTTTGTAATATATCCTAGTTGTTTCTTCAGTCTTTTGCTGGTACTAATGTCTCTCAGTTGTTCAACAGCTTAATAGAGGTCAGCTGCTTAAAGTTCCACCTTATTTAGTGAAGCGACAAAAACAACATTTCCATCATCTGGAGGAGTTTGGTATTGATTTGATACTTGGCTGTAATGGATTCATATGGGTTGGGGAACATATTGAGGCCAAAGATGACATGGTAGAAGATCAGGTGAGCCAATCTGATCCCCAAGTTTTATTGCCTAACAAAAATTGCTTGAGTCTCGAAGAACAAGAAAAAAATTATACAATATTGGAGACAAGAAAATACATTTGCAGAGCTGCTAATGCTGTTAGAGTACTATCAATGTTAGGCTTCAATATTACATTGGAAATCATCAAGGGAATTATTGATCTAAGCATATCCATGAATCTTGATATACATGAGATGCTTGGTTCTGATTTTTGTGTTTTGGTTGCTGAAAAAGAGGTCGAAAGGAGAAGCTCAAATAAAAAGAAGCGGTAGATTGCGAAAAATGATGGGGCTTCTGGACAGGGTACTGTTTGTAATTTGGTTTTGTTTGGGGAAAATTCATTTTCAACAAAATTGGTGTAATTCTAAAAGAAAAAAAATTCCCAAAATAGTGATAAGTCGCGTTAGAGAGTAGCATAGTGTAAAAGGGAATTATATGGATCGACTATGGAGTGAATGTTTAAATGAGTTGTACTTGTTTGTGGGTATTCTTTCCTTTTTTAAATATTTGTTAGAGATAGGTAGCTATTTTATAATAATAAAAAAGAAAAAGGGAGTTGTAATCTACCAAACACTTTTTTCAATATTTAAATTTTAATATTAAATAAAGTATGATTTGGAAAAAAAGGACCTGCTATTTGTATCGTCGAATGTATAAAATATCAACCCCTGTTTATGAAATATATTGCGCGAGTTATCCCAAAAGGGACCTGGCTTCATGGATTTCCTTTATACCAGCCAGCCTATGCCAGATTCATCTATCTGAAAGTATGTAGTTATCTGTGGCTGCATCAAGGGCTGAGTTGAATTTTGGAAGATCAGAAGATGGGTAGAGTTTCAGAGCTATTATTGGCTTAGATGCGTACGTGGTAATTATATAATTTGAGAACATTGACGTTGGATCTAGAATGCTTCAATAAGGAGAGTTCAGTAATTTAGTTAGTTTTGTGGACAGCAATAATGATAGGCATTGTGCAGAATGAGTCTCAGGCAAGGATATTTCATTCTGCAAACTTGATCTTTTAAGGCAATAGTCGCTGGTGGTTGGTATTGCATCTCAAAACTCACTATTTACAATATGCAAAATGTGGCGCTTAGATCAGATTATTGTTGTATTTGACATGATAAAATGTGCGAAAAGGATTTGGTTTCCTGGAATTGGGCCTTTTCAATGAAATAAGGACGTGTCAACAGACATCTGATTCAGTAACCTTTGTTTCCCCACTCTTCATCCATGTTTTAGTACACGGTTTTCTTATACTTTACAAATACAAGTTGTAGGCCGAAGACCATTATTTATTTGATTATTAAAGCATAATAAATTCATATTAAAAACAAAAAATGTCGCCCTTACTCTTCATTCACAAGATACAAATCAGAGTACAACTGTCTTATGAATTTTGATTTTCATCCAGTTCAGAAAAATACATTAAAGCCATCGAAAATCTCAGTGATATAAAATTGTATCTCATGGCTACATTATATTTCATCTTTGGGAGAATACTGCTAACATCAGGGAAATTCAGTTTTCTGTAATGTGAGATGCATAATACAAAATGCAATACTTTTTAAAGAACCCATAGCATCCCGCTTCATTTGGTTAAAGGAAGAATGGATCTGTGGCATTTTTTTGCTGTGTGTCATATATAATTAAGATCCTTGATGTCAAACAACTAGCCTTGATCGCACGCTTTTGATAACAAGCAAGTCTGAGTTCCCTAATCTGTTTTCTTCAACCATCCAAACTGCAAGAGACACGCTTTAGATAACCAGTTACAAGAAACTAAGGCTAACAAGTAACAAAATATGTAAACTAGAAAGTAGATGTACCTTCCATGCATACATTCCAAGGAAGGCTACTACATCTGCCGACCAAACAATAGCAAAGGACTTCCAAAAGAATGGGATTATAACATTGATCAATGGGACGAGGAGAAAAAGATAGTTCAGAGCTTCTTTCTCATTCTTTGAGCAATCTCGAGCTCGTAACGAAGGAATTGCTGCACAAATATAATGAATTGTATTCATCATATATATATATATATATATATATATATATATATATATATATATATATATATATATATATATATATATATTTTTTTTAACTAACTCAAGAACCATAATAATTTGGAAATGAAACAAAAATGTAATGAATTGATGCAGATACATAATAACTTTTCCTCCAAAGCAAAGTTAAAAATAAAAAAAAAAATTGAGTGCTATTTCAGTCACACAGCCAAGGTTATTGGACTGTATGATTCCACCATTCCGTAATTTCCAGAAATATCAAAGTTGGTGACGAAATTGCAATCACAGCAGCAGTTTAAATATTTTCTGCAGTGATCGGATACAAGGACATCTAATATGAAGGAGCTACTAATAATAATTACATTAGACTTCAATTTTTAAATGCAAAACATTAATTCTCAGAAAAGGATCATCTTAGAAGGTTCTGAATTTTTTCTAACTGATCACACAAACTTCCTACAGAATGGTAAGTTCAAAGCATGAAGCAGCAAGTAAGCACTCGTTCTTTCATACAATAAAAAATTCAAAATTGGTAGGTAGAAACTTACTGAACATCCAAATGGACCACATTCCCATTAATCTCCAAATGTCAGGTTCATCAGAAGGAAATATGAGATTGAAAGACAAAGCTCCTCCTAACAACATTAAAACATACCCTTGAACCTCAAAAACATTGTACAAAACAGTTCCAGGCACTGCAGGGTTTTTGGTTGCGGTGGAAGCCCTTGGTGCAAAGGTAGCAGCAGTTTTCTGAGCAACCTGTCACACAACAAAACAAACATCAAAATCACCATCTACTTACCAACATGCAAACTCGAAAATTTCGCAGAAAACATGCATTTAAAGGAACTGGGCACCCTTAAAATTTGTCTTAATTGAAATTCAAGAACGACCCAAAAGTGGGAACTTAGAACCAGCCTTTTTAAGCTCTTTGTCAATTGGAGCAGAAAAAGTGGACGTGTTCTCCTTGTTGGTTTTCTCTTCCACGTTCGTCTCCTCTGCGAGTTCCTCAGTTACTGTTTGCGTGTCTACTTCATCGGAAGTGGCACGTGCGAAGAGCGTGGCACAAACGAATGAGTGCGAGAACAAGTTGGTAGTAGCAGTGGAATGGAACCTTGTAACGTTAACAATGTTGGTATTGTTGTTTCGAACCGAGGAGATGGAAGAGTAGGGGACCTGAAAAAGGTACCGGTATGTAGAATTTGGTGAGATCAACGTGTTCATATTCTTGTTTTTGGGTTCTAAAATTAAGTTTTCATCGGGAACTGAACCTCGAGGACGATGAGAAGAAGAAGAACAAGAAAGATAAGGAACGTAAGGTTGAATTGGAACTAAACATAGCAATGAAGGCTAAACGACAACGTTTAGGAACCCATTGAAACACAAACGGTCTGAATTTATTTGTTTCATTCATTTTCGTTTGTAATTACAATTTTAGTATAAATTTTTAGACGAAAATACGTCAGTAAATATTTTTAGAAATAACTTTTTTTTTATATTCTTATAAATATATTTAAGCGTAAACAAAAAAAAACTCCTTATTATTTATGACAAATTGATAATAATAAATAATAATAAAAAACATATATTAAAACTAAACAATTTTTTAACTTTTTCTTAATATAACTAGATAGTAAGATTTTTATATAAATTTATGTAAAAGTTAATATGATTTCTATTATTATATTAAAATAATAATTATTATATTATTATAATTAATAATAACATTTTATATTATTAAGAAAATAAATAATAATAATAATATTTATATTATTATTAATATTAATAATTATTATATTATTTTATTAATAATAATATTAAAATAATAATAAAATAATATAATTATAATTATTAATATTATAGGCATTTTTATTCTTATTATTAATTTTATTTTACTTATAATAATAATAATAATAATATTTTATTAAAAAATTGTAATTATTATTTATAAGAATATAATAAATATTAATAATAAGATAATAATAATATTATCTTATTTATTATTAGTAATATAATAATATTTATAATAATTATTAATTATATTAATAAATAAAAATAAATTTATCATTATTTATTTTATTATTAATTATAATTAAATTAATATAAATAAAATAAATTAGTATGTTAATATATTCCTCTAAGGTCAATTTTGAGTTTTTAGAAATATATTTGAATTAACAGAGTTTTGATTTAGTCAGTAAATTTATGATATCAGTTTTGGTTTAGTTCCTCATATTTTGTATATATATTTTTAAATTTTATTCATTTGTATAAAAAAAAAAAGACTTAATGTTGGATATGCCAACTAGATTGGTTTATCTCCTACGTTAAGCTTCACATATAATTTTATTAAAAAAAAATATAAATACATAAATAAAATAGTTTTTATTTTAAGTTATGATAATAGTAATGTTTTGATAATATAATTATAATAAATCATTAAAATATAATAGTTAAATTAATATAAATTTATTATTATAAATAATAATAATAATAACAAATTTTTATTATATAATTTAATTATTATTACAATTAAAAATAAAATAAATAATAATTAGAATAATAGTTATATTATTAATATAATAATATTAATAATTATAGTTATATATTTTTTAATAATAATATTATTATTTTAGTATTATTAATAATAAAATAATAATTTATTTTATTAATAATATAAAGTATTATTATTATTATTATTATTTATAATAAATAAATATAATTATTATTATTATAATATAATAATAAAAATTATACAAAGACAACTTCTATACACAAAAGTAATCTTGGTACTATTTCTTCTTAAATTAAAAAATAAAAATAATGAATTACGGTTTCTTCGTAATTTTTTTTAAATTTACCTATTTTAATAAATTTAAAATAAAATTGTATCATAGTTACAAAAATAACTAATGTCTTTTTATTAAATAAAAAAAATAGTAGTATATTTAAAAAAAAAACAAAATTAACAATAGTGAAAGAAAAGATGATAAGAAATATAAAAAAATAAAAAAAAAAGTTTTTCAGTGATTTGATTAATATGAATAATAAAAAGGAAGATTTTTATAGAAGAAATTTAGAGATTATCAAATAATTTTTTTGATAAAAAATATTATTATTATTATTAAAAGTTAAAATATTACAAATATTTGAATTTATATTTTAATTAAATTATTATTATTATTTTTATTTTTATTGTAGTATCATTATTAATAAAAATATATATTATTTTAAAATGTTTAATTCAAAATATTTTAAAAAATAATTAATACATAATTTATTTATATATGATTTTTATATAAAAAATCATATAATATTATGATAATTATGAAATAATTAAATTTAATGATGAATAAGTGATTGATGAAAAATAAAAATGATATTTAAAAAAACTAATTTATAGGTAAAATAATAATTCTTATTAAAACAAGCTTAGGTTTTCATTTCTCTTCTGGATTTTTTGAATTCACCTTCTGCTCACATCAAACACAATCTTCCACTGGATCAAATATTGATTACCGGCAATAGGATTTGGAAAATTATAAATTGACACCACTCTTTCTATAAATACACATTCTACAACTACCTTTAATTAATATAAATAATATAATATTGAGAAATATTAATAAAGTTTTTAAATTTTTAAATTTATTATTATTTTATTATTACAAGGAAATGTAAATTAAGATTACTTTAAGCATTGTCCACAAACAACTTGTGGGAAAAAAAAACCCTTGTAATAAAATAACGCATACCTTTCCAACAGTCATGAAATCAATCAATTTTGTTGAAAATGCAACAATTTTTTTCCTCAGAATGTTATATTTTTTCAAATAAAACTAACTATGAGATACAAATTTTTCAACTTCAAAATTTCATATTTTTTTATCAAATGTCCCAAAGAATATTGGTGATTAATGAAAAAAGATGTTTAGATACAAATAAACTCTACTCATAATGAGAAGAAAGTGAGAGAAAATACAAATGATTAATTGTGAAAATGATTTTTATTTTATTTTAAAGTTTATATTCAAAATAATCTTTAATAAAGTATATGGTAAATTAATAATAACATATAAAGAATAAATAATGCGAATATTATTCTAATTTTATTCTTCTCTTTCAAATAACGAAAATGTTCTGAATACATCTTCAAACATTCAAAAACCAGTATAACATCTATTAAATGGTCATTTTACTTTTAAATTAAATTATAATAAGTAATTTTTTTGTGAAATAGGTGGTTTACAAGGCGAAGGATATACACCCTTCATATAAATGGTCCCATAACTATTTTTTTTAGAACAAATTAAGTTTAAAATGATGATATCACAATCCTGAATCAAAGTAGAAATAGAGTGATTGATATATTGACATGCTTCCAAAAATATACCAATCAGAAAATTTTATTTATTAATATTATATTAATAAAGTAATTCAATTAAAATAGATTTAATTTAAAAAATATTATTTTATTAATAAATCAAATTATTGGTTAGTTGTTTAGATAAAAAAAAGTTGTCTATCAATTTTTTCTGTAAGAATATATGCAAAGGAATAATACATACTACGAACTTGATATCATATGAAATGAAAGATATTTAGCTAAATCAAGCTAGCAATTTTATCACAAATTATTATTAAGTGTACTATTTTTTCTTAAAAATTTATTATAAAAATAAGATTATGGATTAATATTAAACATCTAATGTCGATATGTCCGAGTGGTTAAGGAGACAGACTTGAAATCTGTTGGGCTACGCCCGCGCAGGTTCGAACCCTGCTGTCGACGATGATTTTTCTTTTTGGTTTTGTTTTTCATATGTGTCTTAGTTTTATTTATATCAGTTTTTTTTATATTAATTTAATTAAAATTCAATTATTTAATAATGTTAGAGTAATTTTTAGGAACGATTTTTCTTTTTGGTTTTGTTTTTCATATGTGTCTTAGTTTTATTTATATCAGTTTTTTTATATTAATTTAATTAAAATTCAATTATTTAATAATGTTAGAGTAATTTTTAGGAACGATCTTTAAAGAGCGATTGTATCTATCCAAGTAAAGTATATGAAAGAAGATTTTGTACCTTATTCATGTGACGTTAAAATGTGATTATAATTATGGCTAAGTTTGCATTGTTCAGGTTATAAAGTGTTTTATACATTCACCTTCTCTAATAATGCATGCTTACCACAGCTCATTCACAGCCTCTTGCTATATGTCTAATACCCTTTCCAGAATTTTCTCCTCAGAATATCATTTTTGGGATTCAAACAATTAGCTTTGAATAAATTATGTTATCATTATTGATGATTGATATTTTTTTTTAAAGAAAAGCTGTCATAATCCTGATAATGGATTAAAATTTCTTTACATTAGATTGAACATTAGACATTAATCATAAAAATTAATTAAGGGACAAGATTATTAACATACCCAAAATATTGGAAATTGTCGTATGAGTATAAAATGTGCTGCTATAAATAGTAATAATGAAAGGAACTTCCAACGGCTGGACCCGGAACATGGTTTCAAGAATACAAAGTTTGTCACTTTGCCAAGATCTATCTGAGCTTGGAAGACCAAATTTATGCATTTGGCATCTTATTTGACACCTCAAATCCAGCTAGACCCACATATTAGTTCATAGCAATAAATATACATTACTTTTCCTAATCTTCTTTTTGAAAACAATGATTTAAGTGGGTACATTTGTCGATATTTTGATGTTGGTTTCCTTTCTATTTAAAATCCTTTATACTGTGTTATTCTAGCTGATAAGTACCTATGAGCCTGTTGAGCCACTCATTCCCAATCAACTTTTGTACCCCAGAATGCCATAACCTACCTTGTTCCTGTCTTTCTCTTTCAATCTTAATCCCATGCTTCATTTTCTACTATAATTGACACCACGTGATCTTCATTACATTTTTCATGTTGCATGTTACATGTTGCTGATATACGTTAATTTACGAATAGACCTTCCTGTGTTAGTTTCATCTGTCTTATTATGTATGAGTGGTGGTCAAATCCTTAATATGTGTCAATCATCTCTTACTGTAAAACTAGGATTATGCAAATGTCAAGTTTATAATTATTTAGAACAATCATTCATCAAACGTAAGAAGCTTATCTTCTTTTGCTTACAGTATAAGAAGTATACTTACTATAACGAATCCAAGGCTTAATGTCAAATACTGAACCCAATGTGATGTGTGTTGAGACTGAGGTCCCCTCTCCAACTAACATGATGGGTTTTATATCACACAAAACCTCACTTGTCAGATTATTAGAAAATTGGTAGGGTATCGGAGAAGAACTGATTGGATATGTTAATAGTTCAATTCCAATCAATGTTATACTTTTTTAACTATAAGAGAATGATATAATAACCTTGAATCATATAATAATTGACCATGAAAGAGGGTTAGCACAGGTTTATGGTGACGTGTCGTTCCAAATAAGGATCTCACTTCCATGGCAATGAGCGGAGTTGTTGGGTCTCACAGTCATATTATTATTATTATTATCAGACTTTGTTTTTCCCAGTTGGTTTGTTGCATTGTTTCAATCAAAGTAGGAAAACTAGAAAAGAATAAGAGCGCTTTTAGCTAAAAGGCAAGAACACTCTGAACTTTTTCACCAATCACTTACGTGGATGCAACGAATATACATCGTTAATCATGATTTTTGCAGTACATTTGCATAGAAACTATGTTAAGCAAAATTTGTTTCCCTAGAGGGCTAAAGGAGTGCAGTGCCATTTGTTAAATAAAACCAATTGAAGGAAGCCAATTATCTTTTGTGGAGAAGTTGGTGCTTGAGATTGTCAAAATGGCATGTTTGAGTCCCACCCATTTTTATTTTCAGCCAAACAATGAGAATTTCACTAATGAGATTAGAAGCACATTAAGATAATAGAGTCTTTATAATTTATATTTACTTAACATGATTTCAACTTATGGTTGAACTCTAATTAACCATGATTTTATTACCTTTTCTTGTTTTGACCAATGCATGCAGCAGTTTGTCCATTTGTAAGTTTTCTAATGAGATAGAATCCACGTAGACGGTCATGTCATCATGACTCATCCCATCCCATGAATCCATAGTTAGAAAATAAAAATAATTAATGCTTCATTAAATCGATTTACTGACATAATTAACCTAGTTAAAAGCATAAGCTACCCTATTTTATTCAATGAACCCCTTGTATATACCACACTGAAATACAAAACATAGAACCAGTCTCTAATACACAAAATTAAAAACCGGTGCTTTCAAGCACAAGCAAGAGCTGAAAACGCCGTCATGCTTAAACTCCTCAACAAGAACCTCCGTCGCCTCGGCTCCCACCTCAAGTGGCCGCTACGGCGTCGTTCCAAGTCCAAGCCACGCTTCGGCAAGGCCACTCCTAAACCCAAGACCGAACCAAGCACCGGCACCAGCACCATCGAACCTCCTCCTCCTCCTCCCAAACCAATACGAATCGCAACGTTCAACGCCGCATTCTTCTCCATGGCACCGGTGCTTCCCGAGCAAGAAAAAACGATCACCTCGGACGACGACAACGTGGAGAGACCAAAGTCAACGTACGAGCGACCAAGAAGCATTTTGAAACAGGCGCAGTCTCCGCTGCTGGGGAAGTCAAAGCTGCGAGTGTCGATCAACTTACCCGACAACGAGATTTCGCTGCGGCAAACGAGCTTCTCGGAGCACGAGAGAGGAAAAGGGTCGTTCTCATGGTCGTGGAGTTTCAACGAGGGAGTGGAGGGAGAGAGGCAGAGGAAAACGGTGGTTGAAGTTCTGAGAGAGATAAACGCCGACGTTTTGGGGTTGCAAGACGTGAAGGCGGAGGAAGAGAACGGGATGAAGCCTTTGTCTGATTTGGCTCGAGCTTTGGGGATGAACTACGTCTTCGCCGAAAGCTGGGCCCCTCAATACGGCAACGCCGTGTTGTCCAAGTGGCCCATTAAACGCTGGAAGCTTCAGAAAATCTTCGACCACACCGATTTCAGGTAATTAGTCAATTAATTAATTACTGTGATCACAAATTACTCGTTTAAACGACGCCATTTTTGTCGCTAACTTTTTACTCGTGCTAACGAATTAACAAATGCCGTGTCGCTTATGCATAGTGGGGGTTTCAGTTTTTTCTTTGCTTCTTGTGTTTGCAACTGGCATTGATAAGAAACACGGAAACAACTGTTACAGTAGCTGTATGGATGAATTTATGTATGCATGCACTGTGCAGCGATGCAGAATGTCCCCACCTAAGCTTTTGTGTTTTCTGTCAGCTATGGATGCATGTTCCTTTGAGATTTGACATTTTCCATCAAAATTCTTGTGAGTAAATTTATGGATGATTGATTGCTCAATTTATTTGCTTACACGCACCTCGAAATTTATCTACATCCACACAAGATTTTTCTTGGCCTTTAGCATTTTTTAATTGACTTGTAGAACATGCTTATTTAATATTTTTCTGGTTGTGTTGTGACAGTTTTTTAAGCTGGTACTCTTGATAAATACAAGGCTGAGATGTATTATTTTTATATTTTTATTATTTTCATTGCATGGATTTTCTTTTATAAATTTGATACCCTGTTGTTTAAGTTATGTAAATTTTGATTATTTATTAACATGGCATTTAATATTTAAGAATAAAATTTTACATCCTTGACAGTACATTAAAACTATGTCGCATATACATTTTCTTTAAACATTATAGCTGTACATTAAAAACTGCATCATTAAGAAAAGTAGGAGATTGAAATTGTAAAAACAAAAATATATACGAAAAGACTATGGGAATAAAAAATATAACATTCCTCCCAACAAGTTTCTCTTGTTTTTCTTTCATGGGTAGAGACGGGACAATAAAATAGTTTTATGTTTTGGAGTCAAGCAAATTTGTACATGTAATATGAATATTATCATCATTTTGGAATATTTCAAAATCTATGTAATGTTGCCGTTTCAAGAAATAACTTGAAGTACAATTTGTCTGATATGATGAAGGACGGTGAGAATATTATATCACTGTTCCTGTGCTTGCTCTATTTCATAATGATTGAAAGCAAAAAATCTGTCTTACTTTAATCCGAAGGTATTTGTTGCAAATGCCCATATGATTATGGAAACATTAGTGGAAATCCAGCCTGTGAAAGGTTGAAACTGAAAACAATTTAGCTAGAACAATCACAATTAAGGGTTATGTGACAACAAAATTGCAATTTCATGGCAACAGGAATGTTCTGAAGGCCACTATTGATGTACCCCAAGAAGGTGAACTGCACTTTTACTGCACCCACCTTGATCATCTTGATGAGAATTGGAGAATGAAGCAGATAAATGCAATAATTCAATCTAATGAGGAGCCACACATTTTAGCTGGGGGTCTTAATTCGCTTGATGAATCGGATTATTCCCAAGACAGATGGACAGATATTGTAAAGGTATATCCTTCACAATCTCAAAAAAATAACAAAAACCAAAATCACCAACTGGTTCATTTGCGTGTAGTACTATGAAGAGATGGGAAAGCCAACACCCAAGGTTGAAGTGATGAAATATCTTAAGAACAGACACTACACAGATGCAAAGGACTTTTCAGGGGAATATGAGTCTGTTGTCATGATCGCCAAAGGACAAAGTACAACAACAACATCAACAACCTCTTAACCTTTTACTTTATGAAAGTTCAGATTTAATCTTATACTAAGTTCATTAAATTTAAATTTTTTATGCAGGTGTCCAAGGAACATGCAAGTATGGGACTCGGGTAGATTACATATTATCTTCCTCAGATTCTCCATACAAATTCGTTTCAGGGTCCTACTTAGTCCTTTCTTCCAAAGGGACTTCAGATCATCACATAGTGAAAGCTGATGTGGTAAAAGTAAATAGTAATCCTCAAGAAAATCTGACAAAGAAGCAAGGACAACCAGGACAGAAAGTTGTAAGAATAAAATCAACTCCATCAAAATGTATATGGAAAACACAAACTGGAGATGTAGATTGATTTTTTTTTTCTCAATTTTTTATTAATACGATTAAACTCTGGAGATGGAGCAGTTAGTTTTGTTCTTGCTTAGTGCTTCTTAATATTATGACGAGTTACTCATTTCTGTTTTAATTTTCTTGGATCTGCTTACTCTCGTAACGAATCATGGTCCACTAGGAAATTGGGACAACTTTTTCACATTCACTAAAGTTGTTAACACTGATTTCATACTAGTATCTTTAATAGATGATATATTTTAAAACGGTTTCTCGTGGTAAATACCGTATAGTTTTATTAAAAAGCATTATTCAAAAAACCAAATCAGTGAGTTTTTTTTATAAATTTTAAAAGTATCGATGCTGTATTTAAATAAATTGAATTTAACAAATAATACGTTTCTTTTTAAAATTAGAATGTGTAAATGTTGACTATAAGATAATGTGTATACAAAAAATTGTCTAAAATTTAGTACGCATGACCATCGAGTTATAATATTAAAATATTTAATAATTAAATTAATAAAATCAGTATGTTAATCTATTAAATTTATATATTATTAATTCGAAAACTTTCATTCTATAATCTGATTCATCATAACTCATTGCAAACGAATTACGCGTGAGCTGTACCACACTTTGCGTCCGTCTTTATCATCTTCTGCCTGATCCAAGTCAGGAGAAATACCGTGGCACGTTTTCCAAAGTCAAAACCCGACAAAGGGTAAAGGCAACACAAACCAAACCAGATTATTGTTTACCCCAAAACAAAACAACGGCGGCAAAATCCCAGAAAGTGCTGATTCTGAAAGTACTGTGATCTCAACCTGAACACAACAAACGACATAGGAAAAACCAAACCGAAACATGATGACAGACGAGGAACTGATACAGAAAGTTGAAGACTTAACCATCAACGCCCAACAGCACCAGTTGGAGACTCTTGGCTCGATCCTTCTTCATAATGGCACCGTGCGCTATCTTCAATCCTTCAATAAAGGTCCTCTTCCTCTTGATCGCTCCACTTTCACACGTGTCGTGCCCCTGTCTTCCTATGAAGACTACGTGGACCACATTAACCACATGGCAGATGGGAAAGATGAACCCTTTCTCTCCGTTGACCCTCTCCGCTGCTTCTTTTACAGGTTACTGAATACCTCTCTATCTTTACTCTTCATCAGTGTCCCAAATCCCTTCCTTGTTTCTTCCTTTTGATCGCATCGCAAATCATGATCTGTCACTGTTTCACTTTGGTCAAACCATCATTGTTTCAGAAGAATAGTTAACTATGGTTCTTCATATTAACCATTGGCAATATTACATGTTAAAAAAAAAAGTTGTACTTGTAGGATAAGACGAACGAGGTTTTTTTTTTTTTTTTTTTCACGGTTTTACTGGTGATAAATTTTATTTGAAAAATTCACTTAGATTTTTTTTTTCTATCCACAAGAATTAAGTCAGTTCCCTTCCACTTACATTGATCAAATATTAATATATATTGGTGTTGATGTTTGTTTTAATAAAAATTTTCAGTTTTTACTCTTGAATTTTAAAAGGGAAAACTTTTCTATCATTCGTGGTGATCTCTCGGAATTTTGTATCTTTTTATAAATTTTAATTTTAATTTTAAAAAATTATTTAATAAAAAAAGTTGGATAAAATGTTTTCAACTTTTGTGTTTATGGTATATGTTGATTGTTATTGTACGTTTTACTGCTTTTGGACAAACATGAGATTGTCCCTACCCTCAAGCATTCCTTACAACAAGCTTTGTATTGTTATTCTACGTTTTAATGCTTTTGGGCATTTAAATTTGTTGATAATCGAGGTCTAAATTTTCTTCCTCAGTTCGGGAACAAGTTCAAGCACCATGAAACCGAAATTGATCCCTTACTTTGATTCAAGCCTTTCTAAAGCTGCCTCCTTTATTGGTCACCGAGGCAGTGTTGCTATTCTTCGAAGGTGAATCAATCGAATTATTTTAACTTCTGCCAAATTTTAAAGGATTGTAAGTTTGTTCAACAATATGAGTTTCAAAATTCTTTGCAGGGTATTCCCTCCTAGACCTGAAGTGAACAAGATCCTATGGTTTCTCTATGCTGACAATATTACTACTACTAAATGTGGCTTGAAAGTCATGGCTGCTTCCACATACCCTTTGCAAAGTGGTAATGCTACCCCTCAGCAACTTGCTACCTTTTCCAGTCCCCTAGAAGTGATTCTTGGATCTCATGTTGAGCATCAAATGTACTGCCACCTTCTATGTGGCCTTAGGAACCTTGATGTTATAGATGGAATATCAACCCCTTATGCCATAGGCTTGATCAAAGCATTTGGTCTCCTGGAGTCCAAGTGGGGGCAACTATGTGATGATCTTGACCACGGATTTCCATGCAATGAAATTTCTGAGGGGGCAATGAGGGAAGCTGTGACTAAGACACTTGGTGGACCTCAACCAGAATTGGCAAATAGAATAAGGTTAATCTGTGAAGGTAACAATTGGGGTGGAATTGTGTATAGATTGTGGCCAAACACTCGTTATATCAAGTGTGTTACCACTGGAAGCATGAAGCAATACTACCAAAAGCTCAAGCACTACGCAGGAGAGGTACCTATTGTAGGAGGAGATTACTTTGCTTCAGAATGCTGTCTCGGTTTAAATTTGGACATAATGCAACCCCCTGAGACAACACGGTTTGTGATACTTCCAACTTTTGCCTACTTTGAGTTTCTTCCATTTAACATGAATGAGGACAATGTTAGCAAGGAAACAGTGGACCTTTGCAGTGTGGAGGTTGGGAAGATGTATGAAGTGATTGTTACTACTTATAGAGGATTTTATCGCTACCGTTTGGGAGATGTAGTGAGAGTTGTTGGTTTCCATAACTCATCACCAGAGGTAGAGTATGTGATGAGAGCACCTAAAACTACTGCTGAGATTGTAACTGAGAAGGACTTGATTACAGCAGTTGAAAATTTTCAGCTTGCACTTAGAGATGCTATGAGAATTGAGATTGTTGAGTTTGCAAGTTTCTTGGACCAGGTGTCAATAGCAAAGCAGTTGAAGGTATTTCTGGAAGTCCAAGAGGAATCTAATTTTCTGGAGGGTAAGCTTGAGGAATCGGTTAAAACTTTTAGAAGTTGTATCTCCTCTCTCGAGAGTGGCTTGGGAGCTATATACAGGGTGCAGAAGGATAAAGGTCAACTAAGAAACTTACTGTTATTCATCGTAAGGCCTGGAGCTTTTGATCAATTATCAGAATTAGCCATTCAGAATGGGACATCAGCTAGTCAATATAAACCACCCAAGATTATAAGGAATCATGAAGTTGTCAAACTCTTTGAAAATTTAGCCATTGCGACAATATCATGTGATGGTTAATAATTAATGAATGGAATGATTTCTACTAATTCCTCTATCGCCACCCCCAGGAATTCAACTCTTTTGGGGATAGTTGATTTGAATCTGATCACATACAGATAGGTGTAATTGAAAGATTAGTTATATAATCTTTTCAAGAGGTTAATAAATTTGAATTCTTACTTTTGAATGCTATAAAATCGTTTATTTTCCTCTTTTCGGAACAATAGTGAACTGCAAATTTTACATTACAGCCTTTGGATATATTTCATGAATTAATGACATTAAGACAACCAATGAGAATTAAAAATATGATAACGAATTCAATCAGCAATACAGAAGCAAACCTACGACAAATAATATGACGAGTGATTATTCAATCATCAGACTGTGTCGATCTTTTTCTTTGTCTACCGTAAACTGTTCTGCAAATCACAAAACTCCTGCTGCCTATGAGTTAATGGCTGCTTGTAATTGTTCCAAGCTTTTCCCCTTGGTTTCTGGCACCGCAACAATGATAAATAATATAGCCAATACATTAATTGCTGCATAAAGAATGAAGGTACCTGCAAATCGTACACAAGTGAATTTACCAGTTCTATCGGTTTCCTGAACTTCAATCTTCTACAATTATTCCCAAGTGGTAAACCAAATATCATATAATAAAAGTGATCATCACGCCTTTGAATGAAATAAAACTAAAATTAACAACTTGTGTTCATTTACCATAGGAACTCCAGCTCATGAGAAAGTTGAAAGTATAGGAACATAACCATGCACCAAACCAGTTGGTTAATGTGGCCACACTTCCAGCTAGCCCTTTAATATTGACTGGAAAAATCTGCAACCAAAGGTAATATTTGAGTAACAGAGACAATGTTTTATAAGGGAACAATTTGTAAGTTGATTATTGCTATTAATAACACAACAAGCTTCTCCACGAATCAAGAAAAATACATGTAACTAGAGCAGGGGATCAACAATTTCTAGTTCTAAGTGCAACAGTTATTCTAGAAATTCCATATTGTATATGTTTAATGAATTGGCATCTCTTTTGTGCCTATCATATTGCCATCAAGACTTGAAAGAAGAGAGAGGAAGGGAGGCAAGTAAGTGTTATGAAACTGTACCTCGGACATCACAACCCATGGAATAGCTCCCATTCCTATTGAAAATGATCCTATGTAGACCTAATATCGCCAAAAGAAAGAATAATGTCACATGGAGTATGAGTTCATATCTCAGACACATTCAAGAAAAAAGCATTGAGAAAAAGATAGTAATGGTCATACCATTATGCCTGTTACTGCAAGTGCTGGGACAGCTGCAACAGCTACTTCGTGAACCTGTTTCAAAAAGGATATCCATCACTTTCACGTGAATATCAGGATTAAAAACCAGAAGCTATGATTCCCAGTTTGGGATATACCTTGAGATAGAAAGCAACTGCTGCAAATGTACATCCTGCGACCAATCCCGATCCGGATAACTAAAATGAAACAAAGAACAAACAATAAGAATATAACACACAATAGGATCTTTATAAGCAAATGAAAGTTTAATGATAAACTGTTTTGTGTTGAATTTACAAGCAGTAGGGGCTTCCTCCCAGCTTTATCTATTAAGGCAGCTCCAAGACCCGTGATAACGATCTGTAAAAAATTGGAAAAACAGAGTGAATTGATGGGGTTATGAAACCTGACGTCTTACTAAGTATCTGTACAAATATAGAACTATTGATTAAGTTAAAATTAAGAACCTGAAGGCAAGCATATGCTATAGTACCGATGGTGGGAGAAAATCCTGAAATAAAATCCACAAATATCAATTCCACAAAATAGAAATTAGAGTGCCTATTGAAATTTATTCAATTTTTAAAATGTACTTTCAATGGGAAGTGTGACAATGAGTTATGGGGTGGATGGAAATTGCGACGTGCAAGAATGTATGATGAGGTCATGGACTGAAATGCTGACTTTGAACAAAATGAACTGTTACGATTACAGACAGAAATTCTCTTAGGTTACCTGCTAGTGCAAAAATACTGCTGGTATAAAAGCAAATACCATTGATTCCTCCAAACTGCTGGCAGACCATAAGGCCTATTCCTATCTGGTCATTGATGTATAAAAATTAGTTATATGTTGGCCTTTACAGTGCACTTGTTTGTGTTCATGAAGAACGGATAGATTAAAAGTTTGAAACAAAGTCACTTCAGATTTGCTTGATACAACAAAAACAAAAGAAGGTAGGAAATAAACTGTCTATCATCTACATACTTGGTTGAAAATCATTTTTTAATTACTTTATTTTTCACCCCTAAACCTAGTCCACCAAAAAAATCCTTAAAGAAGGTGAAGTGATATTTTAGTGGCATTGGCAAAAGGAAAAAGAAAGAAACTTTCAATCAAAAGTTGGAATGATAAAAGTTATAGTTACAGTGACTGAGCGCAAATATCTTCTATGAAACAATTCCAGTAGCCTAGACTTTGGGAGCTGCTCCAAGGTAGTTATGTAATCCTGTGTGGCAATGACAGATATACCCACTTAAACACAGTATCTTAAGAATGCTTAGCCTTCAACATTGCGGTGTGAAGCAAAGTCACATAGTAATATCTATAAGTATATGAACCTGAATTTCCTCTGCCTCCTCAGATATGTCAGCATCTTTGCCACGAAGTATTTGCAGTGCTGCTTCAAAATCTTTTTGACGTCCTCTCTTTGCCTGCAACCATTGTTTGGTTAGGACTCTTGATGTTGTGAAAACCACTGCCCATTTTCCTCTTATAAAAGCATGAATTTGTAAATTGATTTCTTACTAGCCATCTAGGAGACTCTGGAATGAAAAACAGACCCAATAGCAATATAGAAGTGGGAATCAGGCCTACAATTGCAAACACTTACGTTTTTAGTTCTCCAGCAAACTATCACTTTTCTAATTTTATAAATTTTTCTGTTCGGCCTATACGCTTATTATTAGAATTAGATTGAAATAGGGAAGACTCACCAGTTAGTGCTAAATCCCTCCACGAAAGTACATTTCCAATGGTGAATGCCACTGACACAGCTGCAGTGATCATAAACTGCAATGGGAAATGAAAAACAAAACTTGCTAACTTTGTTGTGCGTACTGTTTAGTACAGATTCAACCAGTTCACTATGAAAACACACACACACACACACACTATATACATATATATATATATATATATATATACAAAAGAGAGAGAGAGAGAGAGAGACTGTAATGTTTCCAAAGTTTCAATAATTGCTGCAGAGATCTACCTGATTTAAGGTAGTCAGTGTCCCTCGAAGTTCTTTTGGTGCTATTTCTGCTATAAAGATAGGAACCTTGTACAATCCATCACATATATGGTAAAATTTTAATAATTTGAACATGTAAGTGTCTGGAACGAAATCTTATGCATTAAAGTGTATTTTGGAGAGTTGAACAATAACCAACCACATATGAAAAAACTCCCATTCCATATCCTGTTGCTAGCCTCCCAATGTCCAAAGGCACTGTACCCTGTATAAAAGAATAAAAAAGTTCTGGTGGGTTATATAATTCTTGAACAATAGTTAATGCAAAACATGGTTACATGGTACAAGTTTTGTGGTAAGAACCTCAGAAAAGTAAATAAGAAGCCACCCCGCGACACAGAAAGCACTTGACACTCTCATTGCCTGCATATATTCCAAATCAACCTTTCCACACCTTAACTGATTAATCCCAAACACGCATCATCATTTCTATGAACTTACCCCTTTTCGTCCAATAAAATCAGCAATAGACCCACTTGTTATTGCGCCAACCATCGCACCAAAAGTCAAGATTGAACCAAACAGGGAGTACTGCATACAATCAGTACATGGAAGGCAAAGAAAATTGGATCAAAACCCAAAAAGCAAAGGGAATATATGTATGAGTAAGTTTCGTGTTGCAACTAAAAAATTTACCGAACTTTTTCTTTGAAGCCAACCAAACTTTCTGTGAAAGAGTTCCGGTTTTGAATCACTACCATTTTTTAGTTTTTATCAGCTGACCATGATACTCAGAAATTTGTACATATTTTTTATTCCTATCAGTCCTTAGCCATCTTTAAGCCTACTGAAAGAGTAGTCGTTATTGAGCATTTTCAAAATTTTTCCCATGATTTCACTAATCCTAAAATAGGGTGAATAATGCAGGCTTACCTCTGCCAAAGACAGACTGAAATCCTTCTTGATAGCATCTTGAGTGGGAGATGAATATCCAGCCTGAAAACAGACACATAATCATTCCACAGGGAAACATAAGACATTGAAACTAGTATTTTTCTGTTCTCAGATTTTTTTTCATTTGTCTTGTACAGCAGCCCACAAAAGTGCTTCCGGTTTACCACATCCTCTTTACTGGGAATGACAAGTGTCATTTGAGTTACATAGAGTTCAACTATAAACTAAACACTTACACAAGCACCAAATTCATAAGAACCACACACTGCAACGAATGTACAAAAATAAACCATCCATGGATGCCCTTTGCTTGCACGGACCAACTGGTGGTCCTGTTCCCCCACCAGTGGCTCTAGGATTCCTTTCTGCACGCCTTCTTCGACATCTTTCATCGCCATATTCACTTCTATGCGTAATCAATTACTAGTCCTTAGTATATATATATATATATATATATATATATATATATATATATATATATATATATATATATATATATATATATATATATATATATGTATAGCAAAAAAACAGATCCAAACGTTTTTAGTATTTTCCAAACAGAAATGTTTGTTTTCAGTTTATTGGTTGGTATCTCATTTACATAAATGTCTCATGTCACTGTTGTTTTTAGTTTTATAAATAAATGACCCAAAAAAACTTTATTGTTTTTGTAAATGGTCAAGAACTATTTCATTTTCATGAATGAGACTGAAACAGACCAAAATATATATATATATATATATTTTGGACTAGAAACAAACGGTATCTTAAAATATAAATATCCAAACGTTGAATTACAGCCAGTAATATACCACACAAAGCTGGCACTTGGATGCCATTATTATTTAAACTCAATCTAGATCTCATATTTTTGGATGGACGTGGGAGTTACAATTACCACCAAACATATGGACACGAAAATGTACAAAGTTCATTATAAAAACCTGGAAAATTTTAACTTTTAAGATGTATTTGTCTTGGGACAATAATTGCGTGAGCTTCTTCAATGAGATGCCTCCATGTCAATTCATGATAAGTGTTGATGACTTTTTAAGAGAAAGAAAACCAAAATTGTTGTGTTGAAAGTAAAAGTAGTTCTGAATTCTCTGAAAGTGAAAGATCTACTTTAAACTAAAAATTTGTTGCGTTTACAAGTTGGTTTTCATGTCAGTCTAGCCGCCGTAGCTGATAAGTTTTTTATGGGTAGTTTCTACGTGAATAGTCTAGTCAACAAAAACGAAAAAGTGAATTGCATTTTCGTATTTACCATCACAGATTTTATTACACTAACCAACAAAAACCACCGTCAGAGTTTTTGGAATTCGATTAAAATTAACCAGTTAAAAGAAAGAGGTCGTTGTAGTTATTTCCAATGTTTTTCTCTTAAAAGCAAAACTAAATTTCATGCACGTGCAGACATTGACCTAGCTTGCTCTTATCACCAACCATGGTTACTCAATTCCTCACATTGTGCCTTCTCATCTCCTACTACGCCTTTACTTCAACCAAAGAAGAAGATATGAGTTTTGTGGGCTCACTAGTGCCATAACAAATTGAGTTTGCAGAAGAAAGACATGGCCATTTCAAGTTCTAATAGAACAAGTACCTATGATGTCTTACATAATACTTACTGATGGAAGATAACAAAGTGGAGGAGAAAAGCCTACAAATTTCTACCAATAATTCTATCCCCACCCTCTGTCATCTCAGAAGTATCGATTTTACTCTTATCATTACATTTTACACAGCAGTTTGATATTCTTTGTCAAACTGTTATAAAGCAAAAAGAAGAATTATACATTTTTTGTTCTGTGGATTAACTTTACCTTGTAAATTATTTACTTGTAAACCATGTCATTTTAATAAATTTGACCTTGTATATTTTTGTTCTTTGCGGAGCTAAAATGCAACTGGAAAATTTATTTTGTGAATCATTGGCATTAATAACCAATGTGAAGTATAAACCTGCAGAACAAATTCAATCATCAACATAGAAGCAAACTTACGACAAATAATATGCCTAGTGATGATACAATCGTTAAACGGGGTCTGTTTATTCCACAGTACACTGTTCTGCACTTCTGCTTCTTATGAATTAATGGCTGCTTGTAATTGTTCCAAGCTTTTACCCTTCGTTTCCGGCACCATAACAATTATAAATAATATAGCCAGTGCATTAATTGCCGCATAAAGAATGAAGGTACCTGCAAAAATGTAAGTTTCATCAACTTCAATATTCTACTATTATTCCCAGGTGGTATATAAATTATCGTATAGTAAATGGTGATCAATAACACTGCACCTTTAATTGAAATGAATCTAAAAAACAAGACTTGTATTCATTTACCATAGGAGCTCCAGCTCATGAGGAAGTTGAAAGTATAGGAGCATAACCATGCACCAAACCAGTTCGTTAATGTGGCCACACTTCCTGCCAGACCTTTAATATTCACAGGAAATATCTGTAACCCAAGGTAACATTTCAGTAAGTTAAGTCTTGCTGATTCTAATAACCAACATCAGATTTATAAGTGGAGAATTTGTAGTTGGTTTTGGCTATTAATATGATCAAGAAAATAAATGTAACTAGAGCAGTGGATCAACAATTGCTATGTACATGTTCAATTTATTTGTGTCTTTTCTCCTGTGCTTATGTTTGTGGCTTTAAACTTGAAAGAAGAGAGAGGAGGAGAGGAAAGCACCTCAGACATCAAAACCCATGGAACAGCTCCCATTCCTATTGAAAATGATCCTATGTAGACCTAATATCACCAAAAGAAAGAATACACGGAGGATGAGTTCATATCTCAGACACATCCAAGAAAACAGCATTGAGAATGAAATAGTAATTACCAGTACGCCTGTTACCGCAAGTGCTGGAACAGCCGCAACACCCACGTCGTGAACCTAATTCAAACAAGGATATCACCTTCATATAATTATTAGGATTAAAAACCAGAGCTATAGGGTTCCATGATGGGATATACCTTGAGATAGAATGCAACTGCTGCAAATAATGATCCTGCGACCATTCCTGATGCGGATAACTAAAATCAAACCAAGAAAGAACAATAAGAATGTTATACACAAAAGGACCTTTAAAAGCAAATGAAAGTTTGAAGATAAACTGTTTTGTGTGTTGGGTTTACTAGAAGTAGGGGCTTCCTGCCAGCTTTATCTATGAAGGCTGCTCCAAGACCTGTGACCACAATCTGCAAGAGAGAAATGTAGAAGAGTTGGTTTGCGGAAAACAGTAGTAGATTTTAGATGAAGTAGTAAGTTAAATTACGAACCTGAAGGCAAGCATATGTTATAGTCCCGATGGTGGCAGAAAATCCTGACATAAAATCCGCAAATATTCATTGCCAAAATATAAAAAATTGAATGTTTCATGAAGTTCATTCAACTTTAAGCATAATTTCAAACGGAAGTGTGGAAGTGAGTTTTATAGGTTAGAAGGAAATGGTGATGCACAACAATGTAAGATGGTGGCATAGACTTGGAATGCAGACTTTGAACCGAACACATTATGATTACCGCAATTCTCATTAGTACGTACCTGCAAGCTCAAAAGTACTGCTGACATAAAAGCAAATACCATTGATCCCCCCAAGCTGCTGGCAGACCATAAGACCTATTCCAATCTGGCCATTGATATACAGAACAAGTTATACGTTTGCTTTTACAGTGTAGGTTCGTGAAAAATGTGAAGATGAAAATTTTGAATGAAAGTCACTTCAAACATAATTGATACAACAAAAAACACAGAAAGGTAGAAAATATACTGTCTATCATCTTAATTCTTTGAAAATTATTTTCAGCTCATTTTGTTTCTCACACCTATACCTAGTCTACCAAACAAATCCTTAAAGAAAGTGAAGTGATTTTTGTGGCATTATCCAAAAGGAAAAAGAAAGCAGGTTTGACTCAAAAGTTAGAATGATGAGAGTTATACTTACAGTGACTGAGCGCAAATATCTTCTATGGAACAATTCCAGCAGCCTGGATTTTGGAAGCTGCTCCAAAGTAGTTATATAATTCTGTGTGGCATTGACAAATACTCTCGCTTAAACATAGTATCTTAAAAATTCTGTGTGTTTAACATTGCACTTTGAAGCAAAGTTGCAGAACTGTATCTAAAACTAGCAACAGTATAGGAACCTGAATTTCCGCTGCCTCCTCAGAAATATCAGTATCTTTTCCACGAAGTATTTGCAGTGCTGTCTCAAAATCTTTTCGACGTCCTCTCTTTGCCTGCCATAATTGTTTGTTAGTACTCTTCATGTTATGCAAACCACTGCATATTGCCTTCTTATGAAAACATGCATATGTAGAATAATTTCTTACCAGCCATCTAGGAGACTCCGGAATGATAAACAGACCCAAAAGCAATACAGCAATGGGAATGAGGCCTTCAAGTGCAAACACTTAGTTAGTTCTCCAGCAAAGTATTATTTAATTTCTAATTTTATGATTCTTAGAATTTGAACTTAGCATTACTCAATGCCACAATGCTAGCTTGTAAGGTGGAGACTATCAAAGCCTTACAAGCACTACTTAGATCATATCTCTCTTCAATGTCAGACAGACCTCAACCCACAAGATCGAATGTCACAGTGGCTCCACACTATCATGCTTCACTCAGCCTTTTTGGTTACCCCTTTGTAAATAAATATCCCTTTTTGAGACATTGTTTGCCCACAGCTACAGTTTGCCAACAATAACTTTATATGTTCCTCTATACTCTTACTGATAGAATTAAATTCAAGTAGGGAAGACTCACCGGTTAAAGCTAAAGTCCTCCATGAAAGTACATTTCCAATTATGAATGACACCGAGACAGCAGAAACAATCATGAACTGCAAGGGAAATATAAACAATACATAGATCTCTTTGTTACTTCTATTGTATACTGTTTGCATCAGATTGTATTAATTTGTTCATTTTTTTGTGAAGACACACACATATATGGACTAAAATGATTCCAAAGTTACAATAATTGTTTAAGAAATCCACCTGATTTAAGGTAGTCAGAGTCCCACGGAGTTCTTGTGGTGCAATTTCTGCTACAAAGACAGGAGCCTTGACAATCCATCACATACATGGTCAGTTTTTATTAATTTGAACATGCAAGTGTCAGAGATGAAATTTTGTGAATTAAGTAGCTTGAGTGAGTAGAACCAACCACATATGAAAAAACTCCCATTCCATATCCTGTTGCTAGCCTCCCAATGTCCAAAGACACTGGGCCCTGTATAAAAGGAAAAAAGAAAGTTCTGTTATGTTATATAATCCTTGTAGAACAGTTAACAAGGTACAAGTTGTGGAAAGAACCTCAGCAAAGTAAATTATGAGCCACCCTGCAACACAGAAAGCACTTGACACTCTCATTGCCTGCATATTCAGAAATCAACATTTTCACACCTTTGAAACCCGAAATAAAAATAACTAACAAGGTTAATCCCAAATAAATATCATAATTTATCTGAAGTTACCCCTTTACGTCCAATAAAATCAGCAATAGGCCCACTCGTTATTGCGCCAACCATCGCACCAAAAGTCAAGATGGAGCCAAACAAGGAGTACTGCAGTACACAAAAAAGAAAAGAAAATAAGATCTAGCACAGGCATCAAATCCATTACGCAACGGGGATATATTTTTGAGTACGTGATAATCATAAGTTGCTAGTTACTACTAAAACTTCCCAGATTTTTTCTTTGAAACCAGCCAACTGTTCTGTGAAAGATTTCAGAAATTTGATCATGTACATATTTTTAAATACTCATGGTTCCATTCCTATCAGTCCTTGGCCCTAGTTAAGCATACTGTTAGTTTATCATTTCAATTTATTTCCCATTATTTCACTAATCCTAAAGTGTTAGTAACTACAAGCTTACCTCTGCCAAAGACAGACTGAGATCCTTCCTGACAGCATCTTGAGTGGGAGATGAATATCCAATCTGAAAATGGAATAATAATCATTCCACATAGAAACATCTAGGTGTCAAACCCTCAGTGAGTTAAACTTTACAATAAGTACTCCCTCTCTGTATTTCAACTTTACAACACCCTCTTTACTGGGAATGAGGAATGTTATTTGTGTTACACAGAGTTCAACGATATATAAACACTTACACAAGTCCCGAATTCATAAGATCCACACACTGCAACAAATGTACTAAAGTAAACCATCCATGAATGCCCTTTGCTTGCATGGGCAAGGTTCTGATTCCCCACAAGTGGCTCTCTGATTCCTTTCTGCGTGCCATCCTCCACATCTTCTTTAATCGCCATGTTCCCTTCTATGGTTATCACTTACAAAATTCAACTCCTTGGTTCATAAAGTATTGATGTTGTGTATCATAGGAAAAATAAAAAGACACGTAAGTAATCATGCTGTTATGGGAACTATCAAACTTTTTCCACTTATGAGAACGAGGGTAGAAGTTAAAAATGACAGCAAGAAGTGTCCCACACAAAAATGGTATTTGAGTGGCGTTATTATCTTAAATTTTAGATCTTTAGTATAGATGTCGTGTTTTTTGGATGGATGTGGGAATGGAAATTACCCTTCAAACTTACGGACACGATAGTCTACTAAGTTCATAATCAAAATTTTGAAAATAGTATCTTGAGAGTGTACATATGATTATGTCTTGAGAAAAGTTGAGTGTCCTTAAAGTTCATATTTTACTATATATTTTTGTTGAAAAATGATTATGACATTGTAAATGAAGTTCATTTGTTCGTGAGCTAACAAATGAGATGTCTCAATCCCAATTCCGTAGGACAAGTGTGACAGACGATTCCAATTTAAATTTTTTGAATGTTTGGTACGGAAGAACAATACAGAGGAAGACGACGTAGCAAGGTAAAAGTATAAATAAAAGTTATTTAATCGAAGAAAAATATTTTTTCCCACTTTATTTAATTTAAAAAATAAGTAATTATTATTTATATTATCTCTACTCATTTTGATTTATTATAGTATTAATATTACTCCTATTAGATAAGATATTATTATGGGAGAGGACAATGAAAAAAAAAAATCATTGTTTTCGTGTAAGATTTTATTGTGGGCTCCAATATTTTTTTTTTTTAACTATGCATTTTGCTACAAAATCACTAATATTCTCTTATTTCATCTCCCTTATTTTTACTCTTTCAAACATTTTGTAAAGGTTTTGCAAGTCCAAGTAGGTATCTCCTTCGAAATACTCGATAATTTTTATTTTCACAAATTTAAAATTTTAATTGATTAAATATATTTATTATATTCAAAATAGATTTATTTATTTATTTTATTTTTATGTATAATGGTTGAAATTTATTTTCCCCCCAAAGTTGGTTATGGTATTTTACAACAATGTATGTATGGTTAATTGATTATAGTTTATTATTATTAAATATCAATAAGTAATCATAAATATCATTAATTAACCATTAATAGTTATTATTAATAATAAAATAATATAAATTGTGACTTAATTGTATTAAAGTAATAAAAGATTATGTTCTCTCTTATTAATTAACTGTCTTTAATAGAAATTATTTCTTAATTGTATTAAATCATTCAAACACCTTTTACCAAAAATATTTTGCTCTTTTCTGCACTTTTTTTTATTGTGTTTTGTCTATAAATGTGCACTTTTTTTCTATAAAAATGAAAATTTCTATATAAGATGGGTCATGAGATTTTTTTAAGCAGAGATAAATATTGTGGTTTTGAGTAACATTTTATGGTTGAGAAGGTGATCATTTGTATCGTGTTTTTTACAAGATTTTTTTTCTTTTTAATTTTTAAGTTTTTCTTATTCGTATTTATCTTTTATTTTATTTTTTTCTAATATTTTCTATTTTTGTGATAACATCAAATATGTTTTTTAGAAAATATTTATTTAGGAAGTAAATGAATTATAAAAGACATTATTCTCCAAATTTGATTTAAAAAATGCATTATCTCCTATTGTTTGTTCCTGTTTTGTTCTTTTGTTTTTTATTCTCTATAAAATTTTGTTAATGTAGGTCATACTGAGGTAGGTTTACAATGGTGAAAAAAGTATAAAGATACTGATTTAAACGAATTTTTTAAAATTGATTAATGTAATTAGGTAATAAATTAGTATTTTTTAATTTTTTTTAAATGTTATAAATATTATCTTAAAATTTCAAACACTTTAATAAATTTAAAATTTTTCTTGGTTAAAATTAGCATTTTTTAAAAATTAATTATTCTGAAGTTTTTATATATGAATTTTTGAAAATTTACACGGTTAAATAATGCTACAAATGAATTATTGTAATTTGCATTGTTGAAATTATATAGTTAAATATAAATTAATAACTTTAGTTTTTTTTTAAGTTGTGGTGAATTCTTTTAAAAGATCTTAAACTTAAAAAAAAATTATATAATAAAGGATTTATTGAAACTATTAACAGTTAATTTTAACTATTAATTTCAATTATTTAAAATAACTATAATTATATCCTTAAATTCTAAATTTTTTTAATATATATGTATATATATAATTTTTTTGGGTTAAATTTAATAATTTTAATTATTTAAAATTTATTTAAACTAACTTTTTGAAATTTTAAACTTTTGAAAATATTCTAAATAGGTTTTTGAATTTGACGGAGGATAGACAAAGTTAAATTAGTAATTATAAATATTTATTTTTAATAACCAATTTCCTAATATATATATATATAAAGTAAAATAAAAAATGGAAATGTGGCTTTCGCACAAAAATGATACGCATGTTATTTAATGTTAAGTGGTGCATTGATTTGTTTCAATGAAAGACACCTCACTAGTTACGTAAACTTATTTATTATGTTGATCTTTAAATAGAGTTCCCTTATTTTGTAATTCTATTTTATTAATAATGAATCTTTTAAAAGTAATATAGAAGAAATTTATCCTAAGACTTAAAAAGAGTTTTGAAAACCAAGACTTCAAATCCAAAAAAAAAAAAATCAAAATAACTACACATAGAAGAAATACATGTCATACAAAACAAGCCATAGATAAAGACATATATGACAACATCTTAAATATATTATCCTAAGTAGTTTAAAACGTGTGTAAATTTTGTCATTCAAACTTATCACAAAAAGTTTATAAATAAGAAACTAGTAACCATTTTTTCTTATATTGAAACATTTTCACTAATATTTGTACATCGATCACTATTTGTTCTAAAAGTAACATTTACATGGTTGTCATCTTTTCCATTCACTTTTTTCCATTCTTGTCTATTTTCTCTTTAAATTTGATTAACTGCTTTCCATTAATATTTCTACATCATCTCTTTTCTTCTTTTTAAATCAATTTTCTTTTACATTTTATTAAACATATCTCTCTACACTGTCTTCTTTATTTCTTTTTTTCAAAATCTTAAACTTTCGCAATTTTTCTCTTCCTAGTTTTCTTCTAAAAATTCTAATACTTAGTCTTATCGGATTGCTTTCAAAATATAAAATGTTAGTTTAATTTAAATATGTTAGCTGCTCAAAAGTACTTATTTAATAATAATAATTTTTTTTCATGAATTTCCTTCTACCTAAACTTTAATACCTACAAACCTTAATATCTTCTCATATTTATTATTAGTACTAATCACGATTTTTAATTATGGTCTTCCTTATTCAGTCGTTGTTCCTTGTCTAAATTATTATTTTAGGTTAAATTTTTGTAATTGGTTGTCTCTTCACATATTCAACACATCATGTCAGTCCAATGACGAGGTTAGTTATTTGGATATTACACAACCCTCAACTTAAGTATTAAACGTTCAGACTTTAAGGAATCTATATTTACATATTGATATTTTAATAATGCAATAACTCGGACATCTCATATAGGTTGGTTATCGTCTCATTAACTTAAACATTATTCATTTTGGCAGAAAGGTGTTTGCCATGTGTCGATACTAATGAAACATCGTATCCAATCACACCACACACACGAATCTTATGTGCCTCTCCATCAAAGTTACAAAGCCCCTACTAGGAAAGGAGAAGAGTGATATCCAAAAATCCAAGGATACTATCAAGACTAAAATTGCTAAGATGTATGCCGCTAGCTTTGTCAGAGCAAATTTTAGTTCTTTTCCTTGTGTGTCGACCCGTCTATGGGCTAGTTAACGAGTAGGGTTGATGGCGAATTGTGGAGGAAGAAGATTAATTTAATGTGATATAGGTTATATTTAAACTAAGTGACAATTTTATTTATATTGTTAATGTTAATGTTAAGTTTTAAGTTGTGCATCAACTTCTGATTATATATGAGTAGTGCACGTTAAGTGCGTGGGATGAATCAAACTTATTTGGGTTGTTGTGTAGATTATTTCAATATCTTTAGATTGTCGTGTAAAATATACCGATTTTTTATTTGATTATCATTATTTTAGAATTTTTTGACCTTTATTTGATTGTCATTATAGAATATCTCAACCTTTATTTGCTCATTGTCGTTGTTATAAAATTTTTTGATCTATATTTAGTTATTATTATTATCGTTGTAAAAATTTTTGACCTTTATTTAATCATTATTGTTGTTATAAAATTTTTCGACCTTTATTTAATTTTTGTTGTCGTTGTAAAATTTTTTAACATTTATTTGATTATTATTGTTGTTATAGAATTTTTCTAATTTTGTAAAAACTTTTAACTTTTGTAAAATTTCTCGACCTTTATTTAGTTATTATTGTGATTGTATAATTTCTCGACTTTTATTTAATTGTTGTTGATATCGTAGAATTTGCCAACTTTATTTGATCAGTACAAATTTTCAATCTTTATTTAAACGTGTTATCTAATCCTTGTCGTTATAAAAATTTTGGACTTTTATTTAGTCGGTGTCCTCGTGCCACAAATGAAACAAATTCCTTCTTCGACTATAATACCTTATCCTATAAATAATAAATAACAATAACATTAAATATTTCACTAAATAAAATAATAACAAAGACACGAAATCACCGTATTTAATCTTCTACAAAATTTGGATTCAGCTGACAGAAGAAATGGTGTGACCTGAGATCAACATGCACAGGGAAATGGTGAATAAATAAAATTGTGGTAGTTTCTTCCTGAGCTTCGTTTCTTGGCTCTGAAAAAAGCAAGCATAGGATAGAGGAGTGGAGGATTGGACGAAGAAGCATCTTATTCCTCTACTTTCTAAACAATCTAATTTGTTGCACCCATTTTTTTCATAGGGAATCTTTTTCCTTTATCTATCGTATTAGTAGGGGGTTTGGGCCTTCCTTTATAATCTCCCCTACTAAGTTATTATTCCTCGCCTAATTTTAAGATAGAAGTAATATTTTAAATTAGATTTTCGTGATATTTTTATAACTTACTGTATTGTTACGAGTCCGACCTAACATGTCAATTATACGACGAGGTTAATTATTTGGATACTATAAAATTTAAAGAAAAAAGTAATTTGAAAATATAAATTTTAAATTTAGTAAAATTGGAATAAGAAGGAAAAACAATTTTAGCTTAAAATATTTAAAATCAAAATTATTATTTAAGTGTAAAGCAGTGAATAAAAGAATTTAAGAGATTTTAACAGCCTTGTGTGTCTTTTGACTTATAAACAAATTTAAACCTCTGAATTTAACTTATATTAATAATCATGTCTTGGCTAAGTAAAGTAGTGTGTTTTCAAATCCACATTTATCTTATTTGGTTGACCATTTAAAAAAATAGACTTTTTTCCGCCTTTTTTTTTCACATCAAATAGTTCTTCCATGATCAAATGACAGAAAATGGAAAGCAGATGAAGTATGACCATAAAATCAAAGAAAAATATGTTCATTGTTATTTAAACCTTTTTTTCGTGTTATTTGTCAGTTAATGTGTTTCTGGCAATTTTAAAGGGGCAGAAAATTACTTAATATGACTTCAATTAAGTGATTTTTGGTGGTTTTGAACTGTTAACAACCAACAAAATTTGGACATTGGATTGTTATGTAAAACTAGTAGCTCCATAAGTTACACGAGTATCACAGCATCACACCATTTAACCTGAGTTAAGCTACCAAGATTGACCAAACTAGTCACTAATCATTGTTGTTAATCAAACCGGGTCCCAATGACCACTAGAAATCAAACTCAAATTAACAAGGATGAGGTTGTGATTGGTGATATTGGAGGCCAGATTAACCTGTACAAGCTTGACAAAATGAGACGGTAAGATCATTAAAATCTAAAATTTTAGTCTACAAAGTCATGCTTACACTAATAAATGGAAAACAATCCTATTTCTCCATTCTCTATCCCCTGCTTCCTTGCTTAAAATAGGAAGTGTGGTAACTTTACAATGTGTTGGTAACCAGTTGGATCAGCTCTGCAGCCCCTAGTTACTACTCAGATTTCTCAGTATCAATCCTCCCGGCAATACAAGAGATTGGTTGTTTTATTAATGAGGACACTGATTCCTCTGTATCTAGCATTTTAACAACCTGGTCCATTGTTGGCCTAGCATATAGTTGTGGATGACAACATAGTACAGCAACCAACACATACTTCTCAAGAATTTCTATTGGACCAAGTTCTGGGATACCATCTTCAATTACGTCAAGAGCTTTACCATTCCTAACCAATGACCAAGCAAAGTCAGTGAGTGCAGAGGGTTGCCCATCATTGTCCATTTGAAGAGCCCTTTTCCCACTCAAAAGCTCAAGAAGCACAACCCCAAAACTGAACACATCACTTCTCTCTGTCAACTGTCCATACAAAGCATACTCAGGTGCAACATACCCCTTAGTTCCAGCCACTCTAGTGCTCATATGCGTCATTCCCTCAGGGTTGAACTTTGCTAACCCAAAATCCGCTACCTTGGCTTCAAACTTGTGGTCCAGAAGTATGTTACTAGCCTTAATATCCCTATGAATGATGGAAGGTTGAGCCCCATAGTGCAAATAAGCCAACCCCCTTGCAGTGCCTAAAGCAATCTTTTGACGAATTGGCCAACTGAGTTTGTGCTTAGCAGAACCAAATAAATGATCATAAACACTCCCATTCTCCATCAACTCAGTGACAATAATCCTCTGGTGACCCTCTAAATTAGTTGTAGCAGTACAATACCCTCTCAAGGCAACAAGGTTCACATGCCTAACGCTCGCAATAACCTCAACTTCATGAGTGAAGCTAGCATCGCCAGAAACTGAACAATTTTTAAACCTTTTCAACGCAACATGAGTCCCATCAAACAGAATCCCTCTATAAACATTCCCATAACCCCCCTTCCCAATTATGTTATCACCAGCGAAATTCCTAGTAGCATTTTTAATCTCATCAAAAGTGAACCTAATCAAAGTAGTACTCTGGTTCATAGAATCCAACCCAGAGCCCAAACCCAAAGCCATCACAATTTTACCAACATTCTTCTTCTGCTTCATTCTAACGTAAGCCCGAAAAACACCAAAGACCAACAAGAAGAAGGCCAACACACAAAAAACCACAATAAGAATGGTTCGACGCTTACCAGTTGAACCCGAGGAAGATAACCCATCGTTGAACAAACACTTAGCAGATTCGGGGTCTTGTAGATCGGAGAAGGAAGCAGCATAGACAGAAGCAACAGCCTTACAATCAGCGGTATTGTCCGTGAGGTGGGAATCCAAGTTGGACAAAGCTTTGGTGCAGAGAGCACAAGCTACAACACTGCTGAGAGATTGGTTACAAGCATTCCACACGGACTTAAGAGCAGAGGGAGAAAGAGAGTCCTGGAATTGGGATCGGTTGGTGATGTTGTTGCAGGAGAGGGAGATGGAAAAGGAAGGGAGGTTGCAGGAGGAGCGAATATCATATTGTTGGGTGGAAGATTGGAGAGCGTTCCAGCAGAAGAAGTGAGTGTTGGAAGGAGGGGAAAAGAAACCGGTGCGGTGGAGGTAATCGGATTGAAGAGTACGAAGGGCTTGGAGGATGTAATTGCACCGTTTGGCCGAATCCGAGGAGGGTCTGTAACGGATGAGGGTGAAGTTGAGGGGACACGAAACGGAGAGCGAAAGGGTAGGGAGAGTGAGGAAGATGGTGAAAAGCATGGGGAGCAGTGGCATTCGGAGTTTGTGGCTGTGACACAACATTTGAGGTTGTTTGTTGCTTTTGTTATAGTGAAGAGGTTGTCCAAATATGCCGAGTTTCTTGGTAATTCCTTTTCTGCAAACCAAAACAAGAAACCTTACCTGAGATTCGGGACATTTTCCAGGAACTTAAACTAGGCTTCGTTACGCGTTGTTCAAACAATGTATGTTTTTGAAGGTGGGACCATACCATAACTGCTCTTATCTTGTTGTAGCTTTTTCTGCACATCAATCTGAACGTATTCTCTTTTTCTACGCTGAATCATTATCTGAATGAGAACACCCCAAGATGCCTCTAACCACGTGTTGAGATTGAAAGCCTTTTTTTCCTTACACAAATTTCCATGTTTATCTGAGAACACAAAAATTAAGGAGTACTGATTCACTTGATTATATTTTTGCTGGCTATGTTAATTTGTTTAAATTTTTGTTAAATCAGTCATTTCAACGTTAACCTAACTTACCAATTTATTATCTTGTTCAACTGTGATAATATTTATTATTATAAAAATTTACGATATTCAATTAAATATAATTTTTCTCGTGTTTAGAAAATGTTAATTTTTAGCTATTGAAAATAAAAATCATCAATACAAACTTATGAACTAACCAAAAAAAATATTAAACTGGTCAATTAGAAAAAAACATTACGACCTAAATTAAATTATACAATTTTACGTTTATAACAATAATAAAATTTAAAAATAGGAAGACTTTCTCTTCATACAAAATATATATGATCTAAAATATGTATAAACGCAAAATTTTAGAACTTGTCCTAATTAAAAAATTATACAAACTCAAACATGTTACTATCATTCTATTTTGTGAAAAAAAAATCACAAATAGAGATTAATTAATCGTCATTATCCCATATTAAGAAAAAAAAACAAATAAGATAAAATAAGGATTAAAACTAAAACATCCATAAAGTTGCTAAATTTAATTAAGCGTAGTAACTAATTTTTACTATGCTTTATGTGAGAATCGATTTAAGTTAGTTAAGAATAGAAGAAAAATTTAAATATTCAAACTTGATTCTCACAAAAATTACTTTCTCTTTATTTATAACTCTCTGTCTCCTCTTTAAAATTTTTATTTTATCTCTCATCTTTTTCTAGATCTAATCACCTTAGTATGAGTTTAAATTTTACATTATGTAAAAATGAAAAAAATTTAGCAATATGTAAGGATTAAGATTTTTTTGTTAAAAGTAGTGTCAATCTCTTATATGAGTTTGACTCATGTCTAATTGGTGTGTTCTCTCCTGTGAATCCCCCTTGAAAGTCCCAATAAATAATATCAGAGTCAAATGTTGATCAGCAGTAGATTAGAGTGGTCTTTGTATCAAAAGTCTTCTTGATAGAGTGAGTTAGGTAAGTGTGTCCCGTTAGAATAAACAGGTAAGTATGTCCCGTTAGAATGAACTACAGTACATAGAAGGGCTACTAAAGAGTTTGAGGGGATGTACCAATGTAGAGGAATTCACACTTGGGGGGAGATGATTAGGAAATAAGTGAGTCTAAGTTCCACATTGTGTAAGAATGAGAAAGTTGAATAATATATAAGGAAGTATGACCTATAACTCAATGTTTTAAGGTTTTTAGTTGAGAGTGATGTTAATCCTTATGTGGGTTGGACTCATGTCTCATTGGTGTATTCTCCCTGTGAATCCCTTATTCTTCAATTTTCATAGTACTCTAGGCTAGAATATCTAGATTGTGGGGGTGACTTGGTCATTAGCATGACAACAGGCAGGGGTGAGTTTTGCCTCTCTGATCTCACCCCCAACTTTTTTAACCATCCCCGACCTTACCTTTTTTTATAATAATTATATTTTTAATAATAATAATAATAATAATAATATTATTATTATTATTATTATTATTATTATATTGTATTCAAATATTTAATTATATATATATAAGTTGATTCTTTTTTAAGTTTTCATTTAAAAATATGAAATATATAGTTTATAAGAAAATATTTAATAAGTTAATGTTTATTTAATTAGTTCAAAGTAATAAAAAATTAAATTATTAATTCTTTTTAATCCTTTAAAATATAATTATTTTATTAAGATAAAATTTGATATATGACAAATAAGAATAATAAGATAAAAAAATATGACATAATAAAATCTAATAAAAATAAATTATAAATAAAATAATATTAGTTACTATTAATATTTATATAAAATATTTAGAAGAAGATAAAGATGAAGAAAAATTAACTTTGTATTCAACAAATTGGTTGAAAAGATTGAGAAAAAATGATTGGAGATATTAAAGAAATGTGAAAAAGTGAGAGGTAAGAGAAAAAGAATAATGTAACGAACTAATTGATATAAAAGATTAAAGACAAAAAGAATTAAAAGTAGGTAGAAGAAAAATAAAAATGGTAAAATAAAAAAAAAGACTTTATATGTAATAAAAAAAGAAAAAGAAATATTTTTAAAATATTAATATTTTAAAATTTAAATATAAAGTCGAGGCGTGAGACGAAAACGAGGTCGAGGTGGGGATTGTAGTACCCATCCCCATCCCCAGATCAACTCGATTTTTTCCTATCAAATTCGGGGTGAGGACTGGATCAGTACCGCGAGTACGAATTTAATTGTTATCCCTACTTGGTCACCTTATTTGAATTTCAAAAATTTGGATTGTGAAATTATGTATGTGTTGATTTATGATTATTCTATTGAATATGAATGTATAAGTGATTTATATAAGATTGAAAAAGATAGTGTTTTGTATGAATATATTGTTCTTATATTGAATTTAGTGAATTGATTTACGATGGTAAGATTTAGAATTAATTTGATTTGTAACGTTAGAAACATGATATTGAGCAGATTATGCGATCTGTTATTTTCACGAATTCGCTTAGCGAATTTAAGACGATGTAAAAAACGCTTGAAATTCGCTCAATGTTTTCGGTTCACCTAACGAATTTTGACCAGGAGGTTCCATTTTCTCAAAATTTGGCTCAACAGATTTGGAATTCGCTCAACACTTTCAAATTCGCTTAGCAATTTTTGAAAAACCATAAAAAATAGCTTTGAAGTCCAAATTTAATGTTTCATATATGCAAATCGAAGTCCCGAAATAAGAAATCCAATATAATAAAAAATAGTTAAAAAAGATGTTTACAGAAAAAATTATGATCAAAAGAATAGGTAGATATCAAATTAGAAAAGAAATATATATTTTATTATAATATGAGAAATGATGTGTTTGTGTCTTAATCTATTAAAATACATGTTATAAATATAAAATGAGTTGTATTGAATGATATTAGCCTTAAAAAATATTGTGTTGTCATATGAGAATTACCAAAGAGGTATTTTCATGTATGTAGTGTATTTATAAATATTGATTTGGGACTTGAGGAGATATCCTGACTTTATTGATCACTGGAATCACATAGATGAAAATATATAGTGGTAAGAGTTGAAGGAGGTTTCTAATTACTTAGTTTGCGATATGAAAAAGAATTGTGTCTTGATAAGTCATTTAGAAACTTACCCCGGTCACATGTGAGTATATATACCGAATTGAGTACCCTTATATTATGTACTTAGGAGAGTTGTGGTGAGACAGGTGCAAATCTCTAATATCTATTTCAATATTTATTCTTTCAGAAGTTGTTTTGTGGCTGTATGATGTGAATATGAGTCTGTATAGACATGTGATGTGATATATAAAAACTTGAAGTTGAATTATATTGTTCTATTTCACATTTGAATCTTGCATATTTAAATTAAATCAATAGCTTACTTTATGTTTTTTTATATGTATTTTTAACTGTGATGATGGTGTGTTTACACACAAACAAATTTTACATGTGATAGACCTCATCAAAAATAAATTTGGAATTAAGAGTAGGATAAATTTATATTTTATTTATTTTTGAAATAATAAATATGTATCCATATATTTTGGTATGCGGAATGAATTTATATTTTAAATTACGCATCTCAATTATATATATATATATATATATATATATATATATATATATATATATATATATATATATATATATATATATATATACTGTATAGTTTTGAGACTTGAGACTATTACACTTTATAGTTATTTTGTGCACAGGGCAACAAACGCAAACTTAAAACTACGTACAAATATTTTCATCAAACCCCCTTCGTCACACTCTCACCTCGAAGATAATTTCATCATATAATTAATATTGATGAATCTTATTTATCACATATAGTGTTATCTTATGCAAATGTGATCGTACTTTATTTTAGAATAATTAAATTTTAATCTCAAAAGTAAAATTCAGAGTAATATGCTGAAGGGAATAAAACAAAAAAAACGTGTTTTTATTTGTTTAATCGGGTTTCAGTATGACTAAAATGTACTTTATATTAGAAATGGAACATGTCATCCAAGCCATGGCCCCAACTATTATACTTAGAGGATTCACTTTGAAACTTTAGAGTTGAACAATACCATTGAATTAAACAACTCCTTTAATGGTAACCCAAGTCAATTCACCCAATCAACCTTCCCCTTATACTAAAATTATTAATTGTATTCAAACTACCTTGAATCACATGTTTGCTTAAGTACACGTGAGAAAATGTTGAAGACCTTGTTTTTATAGCTAAGACATTTTAGAAACGCAAATCCCCTTTGAGAATCGTTTGAAATTGAGTTTTGTACAAAACAATGCAAATACAACAGATTCTGGACTTTGAGGGAAAAAAAGATGGGTCAATTGAGATTATTTTTAAAATAAACAATTAAAAAGTATATTTATTTTTAATTTGATTTACATTAAAGCTCCACTTATTTTGAGAAGCTTTTGAGTCCTGCATAAACCCACTTATGCTGTCTAACAAAGAATGCATTAATTTATATGACCACCACCATAATCTAATATTTAAACATCGGAATCAGTATATTTGTCTGATTGCCAGCTTTGGTATGTAGTTGTAGTTGGGGAGTTGTTCCCTTGTCCAATAAAACAAAAGCCAAGTTGGTCGACTGATCAACACAGAATAATCCAGTTAAACATCCATATAATTTTCCTTATTTACACCTTACATAAAATTATTGCTTTTCAAGCAAATATCCAATTCTGTTAGCTTATAGAACTATTTCATTAATTTTATAAAGTTTGGAAGAAAGAAGAAATAGTGAAGATTCTGCTTCCCTTTTCTCTTCATCTGTAGGAAACCACAGTTAACATTGGAGCAATCCACTGTGCACTGTTGCTGAAACCATTGGGTAACAACAATAATGGTAACTCCTATTAAAACCACTAATACCAACAACAAACCAGAACTTGGATTTGTGTTTCAGATAATTTTTCAGCAATCATTGAAGTGCAAACCCACAAGATGAAAATCAAAAGCGTTTTGGGTACCAGCTGTGGCTTAGTTAAAGTACAAGTTTCAGTTTCGGATGAAGGTGATGGAGATGTTTAAGTTCATCTCGTTCATGTCTTCAAGTTCAATCTATCAGGGCTGTTCAGGAGTAAGAGGAAGGACATTGTCCATATTCTTTCATAGACTAAAAAAGAATCAAATTTTATACACCCTTTTCCCTTTACAACAAAAAACGTCCAGAAAGAAGATACAATCTAAAATCTTATATGCATAAAAAAATCAGGTCTACACGGTTACACTAGCTAGCAGAAAACAATCCAATTTACCCAGTTTCATTCCGTGGTAACAGTATCAGCCACTGAACTTCCTTCATCTTCTTCCTCTTCTTCTTTAGAGGCAGATCTGCCGCGACTTTGTAATGTATATGCTTGATAACCAGTTGGACTGCAGAGCTGACCCGAGTTACTCAGCGCAGATTTCTCAATATCAATCCTCCCAGCAATAAAAGGAATTGGCCTTTCCATTAACGAAGGAACCGATTCATCTGTCTCCAGCATTTTAACAACCTGATCCATTGTTGGCCTAGCATATAGCTGTGGATGAGAACACAACACAGCAATCAACACATACTTCTCAAGAACTTCTGGTGGACCAGGTTCTGGAATGCCATCTTCAACAACATCCAAAGCGCTACCGTTTCTAACCAACGACCAAGCCAAGTCAGTGAGTGCAGAGGGTTGCCCATCATCGTTCGTTTGAAGAGCCTTTTTCCCACTCAAAAGCTCAAGAAGCACAACACCATAACTGAACACATCACTTCTCTCTGTCAACTGTCCATACAAGGCGTATTCAGGAGCAACATACCCCATAGTCCCAGCCACTCTAGTGCTCATATGCGTCATTCCCTCGGGGTTGAACTTCGCCAACCCGAAATCCGCCACCTTGGCTTCAAACTTATGGTCCAGAAGAATGTTACTAGCTTTAATATCCCTGTGAATGATGGAAGGTTGAGCCCCATAATGCAAATAAGCCAACCCTCTAGCAGTGCCAAGAGCAATCTTTTGACGAGTAGGCCAACTGAGGTTCTTCTTAGAAGAACCAAACAAATGATCATAAAGACTCCCATTTTCCATCAAATCAGTGACAATAATCCTCTGGTGGCCCTCTAAATTGGTGGTGGCAGTACAATAACCTCTTAAGGTAACAAGATTCACATGGCGAACACTCGCAATAACCTCAACTTCGTGAGTGAAGCTAGCATCCCCAGCAACAGAACAATTCTTGAACCTCTTAAATGCAACTTGGCTACCATCCAACAACACCCCCTTATAAACATTCCCATAGCCCCCACTCCCGATTATGTTATCCCTGGAGAAGTTCCTAGTAGCCTTTTTAATCTCATCAAATGTGAACCTAATCAAAGTCGTACTCTGGTTTATGGAATCCAACCGAGAACCCAAACCAAGTTCAGATGTTCCAACACCCTTCCCTCTCGCAACCTCCTTCCTCTTCTTGAATCTAACGTAAGTCCAAACCCCGGCAAAAGCAAGCAAAGCCACAAAACAGAAAACGGAAACGACGATAATAATGATTCGGCGCTTACCGATGGAACCGGAGGAGGAAAAATCGAGGCCGAAGAGGCACTTGGCGGTTCCAGGGTCAGTGGCACCGTACTGGTCAGAGAGAGAGGCGGCGTAGATGGAGGTATAGGCGCGGCAATCGGAGACGTTCCCGACGGTTGGGCCCGTTAAGTAGGAGAGAAGGTTGGAGAGCTTGGTGGTGCAGAGGGCGCAAGGGGCGTTGTTCTCGAGGGACTGGTTGCAGTTATCTTGGACGGCTTGGATTGCGGCGGTGGGGACGGTGTCTTCGAACTCCTTTTTGGTGGTGATGTTCATGCAGCCTTGGGAGATCCACGCGGTTTGGAGACCGCAGGAGGAGCGGATATCGATGTTGGGGTCGAATTCGTTGATGAAGGACTGGAAGGAGGCCCAGCAGGACTCGGAGGCGTTGAGCGGCGGCACAAAGAAGCTGCTGCGGCGGAGGTAGTCCGCCTGGAGGAGATGCAGGGCCTGCAGGATGTAATGGCACTGAGTGCCGGCGTCGAATGAGGGACGGGCGCCGCCGCCCACCACGCGGAGCACCGTGATGTTCAAGGGACATGGAACGGTGTCGTTGGCACCCAGAGAAGGAACAGGAAGAATAAATGAAAGAGAACAAAGAAAACAGAGGGAGAAATAAAAGGGAAGGGACATTGAAGATGATGTGTTGTGAATGATGGTTCTTGGTTTTTAAGTTTGGATTATGGACGGGAGATCTGAGAGTGAAGGGGGTTGGTGGCAAGAGAAGCTTTTGATTTGACTAATGTGGTGGTGGAGTTAGTTACCAGTGTCTGATGAACTCAATACGCTTGTTCAAACTTATGCAGCTAACTACACTCACTTACCTTATTCTTTATTACTTTTTTCAAACACCAAAACATTTACTAACACCAGGTGAGGACTTTCCAGGAACAAACTCTACCATGTAACTGTTCCAGAGTGGTGCGGTTTTGACCAGAGTCCTATGTCAAAATCCATATCAGATCCCTCTCTTTCTCTTTTTCTCCCCCATGCTCGTCTTTCATCTAGAAGATCCCAAAACCAAACTCTATTTAACAACCCAAACACAATCTTTATGTTGTTAAAATGTGTTGTTACTTTCAACTATTACCTTCCCTCTTTCCTTTTCCAAGACACTACAGCCTTTCAATCCAAATTTTTAAAATAATTGTTACTTTTATGTGTTTTATCAAATTATTAATTAATTTTTAAGAATTTCTTATTTTAATATTAAAATATTTCTTCATTTAATTAATTGAGATAAGCCTTCCGTTTTATTGTTTTGATAATGGAATATCCTAAATCGAAAATTAAACTAGGAAAACGATTGAATTGTAAAAAATAATAATTTGTTTTGTATAATTGAAGCCCGTTTGGGCCAATCTCGAACTCCTAACAACCTCAAACTGGCCCACTCACTTATACAATCGAGAGTCATTACAGCAAGCACAAAATAATAATAATAAAAAAAGTAAAATCATGAAATTTGTTGTGAATAAAGGCCAACACTAATATCTTAAGAATACGATTAAAAATTGAAACAATTTATTTATTAATATTAGTAAAAAAATATTCCTTTATTATTTTTTAAAATTTATTTTTATATGTTCTAAAAAGTATTTTAATTCTATAAATATACTTATTTTTTTATTTATCAATTTTTTTCTCAATCTTATTCAACTCCTTTCTTAATCAAAACAATGAAGAAACCATTTTAGATTATAGAAAAAGAAAAGGTAGATTTTTTATAAGGATCTTGAAAATTTTAATAAACAGCTTTGAATAGAATAATCAATATAAAATGGAATTGCTTAACTTATATACAAACTCAATTTTTAAATAATAAAAAATTATTTGATCCTTTATAAAGTTTTAAATAATAAAATCACACATTTGACTTGGTCAACGATGGACCCTCCAGTAAAGAAGTGGGGTCAACGTAAGAACTGATAGACCTGTACTTCCAGTGTCTTTCTTCAGAAAATCACTGTATCTTTACGTAGTCTGAGTCCATATTTATTTATATTATATTTAATAATATTTTTTAAGTTATAAAAAAATTAAATAATAAATTAATAAAGAACATAGTCTAATGTTTTATTTTTTCTGAAACAAAATCTTCATGATAATGTTGAGTGGAGGAAATAACTAGATTTTTTGTACTAGTGCCCTAAGATAATAACGTTTGGAAAATGGAAGAAGAATCCATGAACATTTAACTTGATAAGAAAATCACCAGAGTTGATTTAAGTCAAATTGAGTCTTCAAGTTACCAACCAATCAAACACCCATCCTGAGTTAACACATTTTTAACTTGGCATGTACAAAAAAGGACATATCTTTGATGAATGAATGAGGCCAACGAGTGAGTAAGTTGGGTTGCTATAAGGAACAATCCGAATATCCCCAATACCAACCATCTTTCTCCGTGCCCATGCCATATCCAAGAGGAGACCACAGACACCAGACAGAAACACTTTTCTCTCACCAAAGAACCCACCCTCAACCCTTTTTTACCACTTTTTTTGTCCCCCACAATTCAAATAATAACAAGACACATTATCACATTTTTATACATAATTTGAAAAACCATAATAATAATGACAATAATCAAGCTATACAAATAGTATTGCATTTCTTCTCTTCTTCTCTTCTTCTCTTTGTGATGATGATCTGATAATCCGCGATTATAAACAAGTTACTATGTCATTACATGACTACCGTTTATTCTCATCATTCAATCGTTGTCTTTGCGTGGACGTGTCATAAAATCATTTTGTTCAAATAATTACACCTGACAGCGATGTTGCTAGAAGCTTGTAGTTAGTTGAATGTAGAAGGCGAAGTAATAACTAACGATAACGTCTGCGTCTCCGTTCACGCTTCTGTCTCCTGGTCTCCCAACCCTCTTTCTTACAACTCTCAAGAAAACAAAAAACAAGAAATATATTCATTAATTAGGCAATTGATCAATGAAAAATCTTGCCTTTATGGCATTCCAGCTACCCCACTTTTATTTCCACCATCAAATATTTGATTCAATTTCTTTCGTCATTGCTGAGGGTGTATTTCGCCTTGTGGGTAACTGAGATATTGTGTTGCCATGTGATTTCTTCAGTGCACCTGTTTCGATACATTTGTAGTTGCGTTGCTTTCACCTTCCTCGGGCTTCGTTCATTCTTACACTGGACATGGTTTTTCTAAATTGTTTTCTAGGAAATCGGTTGAATTGAAAGCTCCGTTAAGTTAAATTAACTTCCACAACCGTTCCCCTCATCTTGTCTTCCTACATTTTTATGTTGTGCTAGATTTTCATTTTCTAGTTGACTGTTCGTTTCTAATTCCTCAAGTTATCCGCTATGCGTTTCCTGCTTCTTCAAGTTTCACACTTTCGTGGTGGATTTGAATTTGGGTTTGCAATTTGTTATCTTTAGGTTCTGGGTTTGGGTCTTAGAAAATGGAGGAGGAGGTGGATTCCCCTGTTGGTGTTCTTGATGATTATTTTTTCCAGAGTTCAGAATCAGAAACTAGTTCTTCCAAAGAACCCGGTACTACGGATTCTGATATGTCAAAGCCCAGTTCTAGGTGGCATGCGTTTCTTCAATTGTTGAGGGTCAAATCGAAAAAGCCAATAGCCACATTACATCCTCTCAGTGTCCTCAAGCTTTCCAGAAGATTGAGCAGTGGCATGAGGGAGACTATAATAGATGCAGATTCGTCCTTGCATAGGCCACCCTGGAAGATCTTCACTCACCATGAGATACAAATTGCAACCAATTACTTCGCCCAAGGTATGCAACATGCTTAATGTGTTACATTAATGTTATCCAGTTACAAGTTGTCACAGACGTTTACTTCATTTCCTTTTACAATAATTACCTGATATTGATGCCTTTTTTAGCTTGAAATGAGAGTTAAACAATCTCATTCAAAGTTATTGATGCATTTCTCTTATGCACTTTAACATGGTTTGTTGCAGATATCAATGCATCAACATTTTTTTCTGTTTTTACTTAGAATAACTCTCTTTTTATTTATTCTTTAGTGGTTAACATTCCCCTTACAGAAATTGAACTCATAACGTTGGTTGTACAGAAAATTGTATTGGAAAAGGTGGTTATGCTGAGGTTTACAAAGGGTGTTTACCAAATGGTCAGCTTCTCGCAATTAAACGATTGACACGTGGAGCAGAAAATGAAACTATAGGGGACTTCTTATCAGAACTTGGCATAATGGCTCATGTAAACCATCCCAACACTGCTAAGTTAGTTGGCTATGGAGTGGAGGGAGGAATGCATTTAGTGCTTGAGTTGTCTGAAAAAGGGTGCTTAGCTTCAGTGCTGAATGGTAAAATCAATTTTACTTTGCTATCGAGAAGACAGTTTTTACCATTTCAGTAAATTTCAGTGTTTTTAATCTCTAACTGCTGTTAGGTTCCAAGGAGAAGCTACCGTGGCCTGTTAGGCAGAAAATAGCATTAGGAACAGCCAAGGGTATATTGTATCTTCATGAAGGTTGTCAAAGGAGAATTATCCACAGAGATATAAAAGCATCAAATATCTTGCTTACTGAGGCATTTGAGCCGCAGGTATGGATATGACTTGGGATTCTTTTGCACAAATTTGATTCTATGGTTAATCACCACATATCCATGCTTTATGGCATTTTTTTTTTCTCGTAAAGACAAACAATTTTTGGAAGATCCCTTATTTGTTAGGACTGAAGTTAGGAAATCTGTCTCTTTTTCCCGTTTGTACACTAACAAAAACCTCCAATGAATTGTACGAAAGTGGACAATGTTTATGCATAAATTTTTGAAATGTTGAGATTTTTATGGGGCAGATTTGTGATTTCGGGCTAGCAAAATGGCTACCAGAGAATTGGACCCATCACACCGTTTCAAAAACTGAAGGGACTTTTGGGTTTGTTGTCAGATTCTATTTCAATGATTATGACATGTCGTACTTTTTTGTAACTTGCTCCTAATTGAATTTTCAATTGTGACTACATACACAGTTACCTTGCTCCAGAATACTTGCTTCATGGGATAGTGGATGAAAAAACAGATGTTTTTGCATTTGGTGTGGTGCTATTAGAATTAGTCACCGGGCGAAGAGCACTTGATTATTCACAACAAAGCCTGGTTTTGTGGGTATGTTGAGCGACTTAACCAAAAAATGAAATAGAAATAAAAATATGTGCTTGAACCTCTAATTATGAAAGATAATAATTTCTGAACTACTTTTGCAGGCAGAACCTTTGCTGAAAAAGAATCATATTAGAGAGCTGATTGATCCGTCCCTTGCAGATGATTTCGACTGTCGGCAGATCAAAACTATGATCTTGACAGCTTCTTTGTGCATTCAACAATCCTCTATTTGTCGCCCATCTATGAGACAGGCACGTTTTCTTGTTCTTCTCAAATTTCACCAAAACAACCCTTTCACCTTCGAATTTGCCTTGTTATATATTCTATTTATGACATGTGAATAACTGTTTCACCTTGTTTTTTTCATGAATGTTGGTAGCGTAGTGAGTGTGGCTCTATAATGCTTGTGGCAGTTAATAATATTCAACTCTACCACACTCAATTTAGAAATTTTGTATTTCCAAAACTGATAAGTCACACTTTTTCATTTGATTTCTACGTAAGCAAATATATTAAACCTTAGGAAAATGGAACCCGTTTAACAGTAACATAGTTCATGACTACTGGTGCAGGTTGTACAGCTTTTGAATGGTGGTAACCTTAGCTGCTCCAGGTTCACCAAGAAATCTCAACTTCAATTATTTCGAAAAGACTTTCAGGAAGAGTTAATTGATTCTGATTAATTGAAAGGAACATAAATCATATGGGTGTCATCAACACTAAATTGTGATTAAATGATGACAGTGATCTATCAAATCCTTTTCAATTTTGCATTTTTCTCTGAAAAAGTAAAAAGGAAAAAGTTAGTTTCCCCAATAGACTCAAACCGAATATTCTGCGGTCTATACCATACGAAGATCAAAGAAAACCCTATATACTCTCTCATTCTGTAACCAAGTCAAATACTTAAATTATTAATCACTCGAAAAAAAAAAGTACTTTCCTTTTTCTCAATTCTTATCCACATATTTTATTTGGGTAAGCCTAGTATCTTCTTAAAAACAAATGTAAGAAATTGAAAAATGAAATTAGGTGAAAAGTTTATCTACAATTTTAGTTTAAAATATATCAGTTTTTTGAAGAGATATCAGACTCATTACGAAAATACATCTTTAAGATTTAAAAGAAAAAAAGTGTACTGTACTTTTTTTTCCTTGTGATCCGTGAACTCTCACCTTAATTTGTAATTGAAAATGAGTCAAATTATTTTGATTTCTTATCTTATAAAACTATGATTTTAATCTTTAATTTTGTAAAATAATATTTAGTCATTACTCTATTCCGTTTATTTGTGTAACATTAAAAAATTGTTTTTTTTAATTTATTTTACAGGATCAAAATTAAAATTTTATAAAACTGCATATTTAGAATACAATTTTAGGATTAAAATAAATTTATAAAAAATAATTGTCCCACTAAGAACACCTTTTATGAAAGTTATTTATTAAGTTGTTTTAAATAATTTTCTGTTAAAAAAAATTTGTTGTTGACGCGAGCCAAATCTTCAAATTAAAAAAAGTTTGATGCTAAAAGGTTTCTCATTTATTTAGTAACTTTTTCATCTTTAATTACCTTAAATACAACCCTAGGAAATACAGTTTTTTTTTTGAATTATCATACTTTTTTCAAGACATTTATAATTTTATCGTCAAATAAAAAAAAATTTTGTGAAATTTCTTAAATTGACTTCTACTTTCTCTGCATGCTACAATTTTTTGTTAATCATATCTCTAATAAGTGCTTTATATTTATATATAATTGATTTAAATATTTTGCCTTTCTATTTTTTTAATATTAATGATTTATATTCTTTAATTAATTATTTTCAGACAATTTTATACATTAAACTAGAGTATTTTAACACTTTCAAATAGCAGTTTTTACCTTTCAACTATATATATAATTAACATCCATTAAGAGATTGAATGGATTAAGCTTATTCCCAATTAATTTCAAACTACAATTTTTTATTGCATAACATTGAAACTCATTTTTTATGAGAAGCATTTAACGGTGAGTACTGAGTAGATATCTCTTCATTCTACGAATTAATTATACAGAAATCTATAAACATGAGTGAAAAAAACAACTTTTTGTTTGTGCTTTGTGGATGAAGAGGTTTTACCAGCCACAACCATGACCAAGCATAGAATCAACAACACAAGAGATATCAAATTTAGAAACAAACTCACACAAACAACCAATGAATTAGAAACAACAAAATATATACACACGTGACATCATAATATCATTTATCTTTAAGTTCGTATTATTTTATTTTTTTTGTTGAAATATTTTGTCGTGAAAGGTTTTATTAGTTAAATGGAAACAAATTCGTAACAATAATCTACATATTTATGAGTAATTATTAAAAGTGTTATAAATAGAATAACACGTGAAAGAATAAAATCATCAAATAATCGTCGACGTTAATTGGGAGATTTGTTTTAATATATTGATAATTTTATATAAATTAAAAATAAAGATTAAAAATATTAGAAATTTGTCTTACTATATTAAAAGTTTATATTATTTAAGAGTTAAATTCGAACCATCAAATATACAACTAACAATATCTCATTAGCATCGAGGACCTATATTTGAGACATTGAATAATAAAATAAAAAATATTTTATTAGCCACATAACTACTTTTATATTAGATTTTATCATTCTATTATAATTTTATCTTTAATAGATCAATTTAAGATAAAAATAAAAATTATGCCCACCTAACTTTAATAAATAATTATAAAATTTTAAAAACACTATTTTTTTCAAATTAAAAAATTAAGTCGCAAATGAAACCATTTAAAATTTTAAATGTATTATAGGAATTTGATATATAAATTTTAATATCAGTATATATTTAAATAAATATTATTATTTTTAATTTTTCAAAATTATATTATTATTTAAAAACAAAAACAAATAAGATCGTTTGGATAATGAGTCAAACCAAAATTCTCCTACTTCAATTTGGGTAAATATTTTTTTCATCTAGAATAATTCAATTTTAAGGATTATTCGAGTTTGCGCAGGAACCATAACCAGTTGCCAACTCTAGTCTTTATTTGATATATATTATTGCTGTAATTTAAACATCACAATGCTTTTTAATCTGAAACTATAATGATTCATAGTTTTTTTTTTTTTACTATCATTACGTATAGGAATTGAGTTTATAACTTTTAGTTACTTTATATTATTCTATTCTAACTTTTTAGGTATTTTTAACATTTTATGAAGTTTATAATAAAATGATAATATAAAAATATATTTAAGATTCAATGAATTTTAAATGATTAAAAGTTTGTTTAAAGAATTAAACTAGGTGGAACAGAGTTTTTATTTATTTATTTATTTTTTTAAATAGGAAGTGGAAGCAGAAGGAGAAAAGGCAGGAAAACAGTAATGCAAAAATTGTAGAGTCTGTCAACACCGATAGCTGTAGTCATGGACGATAGATAAACTGAGAAATTCACAAGGGAGAGTTGCTGATAAAAAATTTCAACTCTAGCGGAGTGAGAAGTCTTCGATCGCTGTCAAAATCTGATAGAAAATGTTTGTTTCCGGCGGCGACGTAGGTGGACGCGGCTGAGCGCGGCGGTGGCCAAGGAGAAGGAAATTAGTAATAATGAAGAAAGGCAAGGGGAAGAACAGCGGCTTGTTGCCGAATTCGCTGAGGATTATCTCTCAGTGCCTTAAGACTGTGTCAACGAATGCCACCACCGTTGCTTCCACCGTGCGCTCCGCCGGCGCCTCCGTCGCCGCTTCTATTTCGTCTTCTTCTGAGGATCATAAAGATCAGGTACTGCTTCCGTTTCACCCTAGATGAATATTTCTCATAAGCGTGTGTTTGTTACCAACTGTTAATAAATAAATAAATAAATAAAACCTATTTGTTGGTGCTTATTAACTCTCTAAGGATTCTAGTTTTCTTGTAGGTAATTGCAACGAACAGGGAGATGGCGTTGATCATGAAAAAGAACCAAATATATATTAGCTCTGTAAATATAAATGCATGGTTTTAAAGTGAAGATATTGGCGAATGTTACTTATTTGGCTGAAGATTTTAGACATGTTTTAATGAACTTTTATTGAACCACTTATAGAAATAAAAGTTAAATAAATTCGTGAAAGGTAATTTACATAAGAACTAATTTGAAAAAGATATTTCAAACTTCTTTTTTTTTTAATTTCTCTTTCTATAATTGCTTCGGTTAAAGTTTATCCAAACAGTACTTTATGTTTGCCTGATGAAAGTGCAAACTGAGTTGGCTTTACTAATTTGTTAATTGATGTAGAATAGCCTTTCAATGGGAAATGAGGGTTAAAAAAATCAGGGATGAACTTTGCGAGAAAATTGTATGGAAAAAGTCAAGCTCGAATTTTTCAATTTCAGTTTTTTTGTTTGTTTACAAAACAGATTCCCGGGGACAATATTTGTGAATCTACTCAATAGTTTTTCAGGATTCTGGTACTCGACAGATATCGTAGAGGTTGTTAATTTCATAACCATCCCAATGATGTAAGATATTAGATATGGAATCTATGTTATTTACCAAACTATATCATCGTTAGTTACACATTGGAATTCATACGAGCTTTAAATTCTCTGTATAATTTATTTTGCTTCAGATCTTACTTTATTAGCTTTGACTTGGTCGATAGATTTCCCTACATTTTTCAGAACCAATGCTTTCCAATTTGGTTAAGTTTCCATTTTCCAGTTAAATATGTTTTCATGATGATTAGACTTATTCTTCTTTGACCTTTACAACTGCACGAGCTAATGTATCAAATATTGCGTCCTAGTAATTATAATTTTGCCTTTTACTACTTGGTGGATAGGTAACCTGGGCTGGTTTTGATACACTGGAGCTTGATCAATCTAATTACAATCACGTTCTTTTACTTGGTTATCTAAATGGATTTCAAGTTCTTGATGTGGAAGATGCCTCTGGCTTCAGTGAATTGGTCTCAAAGCGTGATGGTCCAGTTTCCTTTCTACAGATGCAGCCCTTCCCTATCAATGGTGATGGCCAGGAGGGATTCAGAAAGTCACACCCTTTACTGTTGGTTGTTTCTGGGGATGATAGTAGCAACGTAAACCGGAATAGTACTTGTTTGAGTGGTTTAGGGAGGGATGATAATGTTGAGATGCTATCTGGGAACGATGTCAACACTTCAACAACTGTTCGGTTTTACTCCTTGAAATCTCACTGTTATGTTCATGTTCTGAAGTTCCGTTCTTCAGTGTGTATGATCAGATGCAGTTCAAGGATAGTAGCAGTTGGTCTTGCCACACAAGTATGATGGTCTTGTTGACTTAGCTTGTTTGCATAATTTATACAATAATTGATGTTTTTCTTGATTACTTTTGCAGATACACTGCTTTGATCCTGTAACTCTTGAGAATAAGTTCAGTGTTCTCACTTATCCTGTTCCTCAGTTAGCTGGACAAGGAACAGCTGGTGTTAATGTCGGTTATGGTCCGATGGCTGTGGCACCAAGGTGGTTGGCATATGCTTCTAACAATCCCCTGCCCTCTAATTTAGGTTGCTTGAGCCCTCAAAACATCAGTGCTTCATCGGGCATTAGTCCATCAACTACTCCAAGCAATGGTAGTTTAGTGGCTCGTTATGCAATGGAGTCCAGTAGACATTTGGCTGCTGGAATTATCAAATACTGTCAAGAGATGCTTCCTGATGGCTCCTCTTCACCCATGCCATCAAATTTAGCTGTGAAAGTCAATAGGGTTACAGGAATTGATGCAGATAATGTGGGCATGGTTGGTATTGTTTCATGATGCCTGAACTGATTGATAAGTTAGCTATTTTTGTGCTTTATGTTAGATGTTAATATCCAACATTTTTTGTGTCAAATGGTTGATTGCAGGTAGTCATTAGGGATTTTGTTTCCAGGATTATCATATCACAATTCAAAGCTCACACTAGTCCCATTTCTGCACTATGTTTTGACCCTAGTGGGACCCTTCTGGTCACTGCATCTGTCCATGGGAATAACATTAATATATTTCGTATAATGCCATCATTCACAGGCAAGAGTTCAGGAATTCCCAGCTCAAATTGGAACTCATCTCATGTGCATCTTTATAAACTTCATCGAGGAATAACACCAGCTGTCAGTATATCTTAGTTCTGATGAATTTTATTTTTTCATGCTTTTATAGGTCGCCTTTGTGCTCTTTTGATATTTATTTTTTCTTATTTGCCAGATGATTCAAGACATCTGTTTCAGTAATTTTAGTCAGTGGATTGCAATTGTCTCATCCAAGGGTACTTGTCATCTTTTTGTTTTATCACCCTTTGGGGGTGATACTGGTTTTCGAATTATTAGTTCTGAGGGTGAAGAACCGTCCCTCCTTCCAGTTTTTCCTCTACCTTGGTGGTATACTCCTGGTTCCATTTCTTATCAGCAATCTTTGCCTCCCCCATCACCTGTTGTTCTTTCTGCGGCTAGCCGCATAAAATATAGTAGTTTTGGATGGCTTAATACTGTTCACAATCCTGCTGCCAATGTGACAGGAAAAGTTTTTGTTCCATCTGGTGCTATAGCTGCCATCTTTCATAATTCCTTATCTCACTCACGGCACCTTGTTAACTCAAAGACAAACCCCTTGGAGCATATATTGGTATATACACCTTCAGGTCACGTCGTTCAACATGAACTTCTGCCATCTGTTGGTTCAGAAACAAGTAAAAGTAGTTTGAGAAACCAGTCAACTTCAGTCCTGCATATTCAGGAGGATGAGTTCAGAGTCAAAGTTGAACCTATTCAATGGTGGGATGTATGTAGAAGGTCAGAATGGCCAGAAAGAGGGGAGACTTGCAGCAGTAGCTTTAATAGACAAGGAGGTACTGAGAGAGTTCAAGAAAAAATAGGCTATAGTGACATCCATGGATTGGATGTTTTGGGTACAAGTGATGGGGCAGGGGAAAAGATGGTAAAATCTTGTAGTGAAACTACGCAGGAGAGGTTTCATTGCTATCTGTCTAATGCGGAGGTGCAAGGGAATTTTGGAAGGTTACCCATATGGCAAAGGTCTAAGGTATATACTGTTCCAAGTTTTGATTTTCATATACAGTACTATGAATTTGTAGTTAAAAATTTTGCTTCTTCAGATTTGTTTCAATTCAATGAGTTGTGTGGGAGCTAGTTTCAGTGCTACTGGGGAGTATGAGATTGAAAAGGTCCCAGCTAATGAAGTTGAAATAAAGCTCAAGGAGCTGTTGCCTGTTTTCGACCATTTTCATGGCATCAGATCAAGCTGGAATGAAAGGTGGTGACTGTTTTCTTTTTCATTCCTTGCAATGTCTGTGATCTATGTGTTGTGCCAATGCTTTATCAAATTATGTCATTCTATCTGATTCATACTACTTTTGGATGAGAAAAATGGACTAAAACAGTTGTATATATATAATAAAACAAAATGAGTGAGCTTTACCAAAGACATTAAAGAAACAATATAATGGGTTTTTAGCAGCTCTAGAGTTCACAGATTTCATGTTTCAATGGAGAATTAGAAGGATGATGTTTATTATTTGAATACTTGTTTCACTTGACTGGTTACCTTGGGAGCACATGATATTCATTAATGTCGAACATGTGCAATCTAAATTTTACAGGATAGTAGTTTATAAGTTTCCAACTACAACTTTTTTAGGACAAGTTCACCCTAGCATGCTCTCACTGTATATAGATAAACTGGTTTTTCTGTGTTGTCTCACGTTTGTTGAATCGTTGCTTGTAGGCTGCTTCTTTGAATGAGAGAATGTGTCTTATCTGTATCTTTTTTCTTCTTCTTTTTCTGCTTTTGAGTCTGGATTTCGAAGTCAAAGAATTTTATTTTTAATGCACACCTGTCCGAAGACAAGGAAAAACAAAAAGAAATAAAGGCCAATATTATCATATGCTGCTGGCATTCACTTGATGAATTGGAGGCATTTACGTGGATCTATTACCTTGACCAATTAAGTATTGTCTAGAAAAATGCATACTTATCATTAGTTACAACTGTTACCCTCAAAAGACTTTTTTTCGTCTGTATGTGCTTGCCAATGATCTTATTTTGTGATCATGCTAATTACTTGATACTGGCTTTTAATTTAGAGGCTTTACGGGGGAAAGGTACTTAAGCCCTACATCTCCTGTTCCCAATCAAGGTGACTATAAGGAGACTGCTGATGTGACAGTTATTTGTCATTCCAAACCAGCATCACTGAGTTCCACTGAAAGCTCTGATGGAGGTAAATATTTCATTCAGGTAGTTTTGTAACTTTTGTGAAGCAAAGAGGATGATATCATTAAATGACCCATTGGAGTTGTGCAAAAAGGATCCTACACATTTTCATAATATTTCTATTTTTTTCCTACTTTGATGGAATGCTTGATCAATATCTGAGTACTAAATTCTACACACTGTTTAAGCAATTTCTTATATTTTAGAGTCACTTACATCCTCCTCTATGTCTATTTTTAGTATTTTGTTTTGAATCTCATGGTACTTTGCCAACCTTCCATTGAACTGATATTTACTAACTTTGTTAGGTTCATCAAGAAGAATTGAAAATCTGCTTGACTTGGATCAAGTTGCTTCTAGTTATCAAACACATGGTGAGATATGCCTGGAAAGAATGGGGACAATCAATGTTGACCCTTCTCTACAAAACCAGATTGCGATGGAAAGTCCATCACGTGTGTTTGGAAACTCAAAACACGTCGATTTTAGTGCTGACCTTATTATTGGCAGTCCTACATTCCAGATGATAAATATAACTTCTGATGGAAGAGATTCTATAGGTGTTGGGATCAATGAGAACTCGGCATTGGTCCTAGAACATACTTCACACGAGACTGAATTTGTGGAAGTAGCCTCGGCAAAGCCAAATGAAGGTGTTGGTATATCTTTAACAGATGGCCACTGCAAAACACAGGAACATGATGGAAGTGACGTGTTAACTGAAGTTGTAACTGATGATGTTGACAGAAGCAGTAGCCACCATCAACGAGAGCAACTGAACGAGGATGGGGAGAATGATGAAATGCTTGCTGATATATTTGTCTTTTCCGAAGAAGGTAAAATATAAAGCTGCAGCTGCATCTATTCTTAATCTTGTCATTTATCATCTCTGAGTCTATCACCAATGAATTCATTAATCTCACACTTTAGGTTGATTACAACAATTGAAGATAAGTCACAGCACCTATTCAGTCATCTCGTCATCAGTAGTGGCCAGAATAATAGCTAGGAAATATAAAATCAATGTAAATATTGTGAATGAGAAATAGCATATGAGCACAAATTTAGTTGGTTTGTTGCTAAATTGTGCAGTCTCCGTGGGACTTCACCCTTGTACATTCTGTAAATGGAAATTCATGTATTCATGGGCTTGCTAACTGGGTCCTATAAGGTTGAAAGTTCTGTGGAAAGGGATATTTTGAGTTTGTATTCACAGTCCTGAGCTTATTATTTATAAATGTCTGTAAATATGGATGAGGCATGGGATTCGCTTCAAGTTGTGTAAAAACTTTATTTTGAATTTAGCGAGGAGAAGAAATGAAAAATTGTAAAAAGCTTTATTAATAGTGTAAAGTGATGTCTCTCCCTCCCCTCATGCAGATGTTGTAGTATGATATCAGCGTAGTAAGATGATTGAATATGTTAATGAGTGGACAGAACTGTCTTTCTAAACGTTGCTTCAGTTCCTTTCATTGGAAGAAAAAATGGCAATTGCGATTATTATTGGAAGAACAATGAGAGACCAGAGTAAAATATAGGATGAAAAAATGGACTGCATGGTTGTGGGTGACGGTGGGCCACTTGAGATTAAAGATTGTTATCTGGGGTCGCCAAAGAGTGGACACCAGACCCAAATGATGTTGCGTAAAATTAAATTAAATAGATAATAAGAAGATAATTAGTTTAAGAGTTTATTGGAATAAAATTAAATAAAATAGATAATTAAGAATTTGTTGAGATATTTTGATATTTGATGTGGTTATTATTTGATTTTGAGAGTTTTATTTCCTAATATAAGATTAACCAGGTTAGAGATCACAATTAAACTTATATATATGGGGATTAATCCATCTTTATCTCGAGTTTGACGGGGAAATATAAAGTTGACCAGGGGTGGGTTCGAGTTTTTCCGTTTGAAAAAGTTGGGAATAGGGTAGAGATGAATAACGTAATTCTCATCTCAGTTTCGTCTCCGTCCCAACTTTACATGTAAATTTAAATTTTAAAATATTAATATTTTAAAAAGTTTTTCTTTTTCTTTTTCCATTATATGTAAGGTAATTTTTTTATATTTTACTATTATTATTTTTTTTCTACTTACTTTTTAATTCTTTTATCTTTTTTATCAATTAGTTCATTATATTATTATTTTTCTCTTACCTTTCACTTTTCCACATTTCCTTAATCTTTCCAATTAATTTATTTTTTTCAATCTTTTCAACCAATTTGATGAACATAAAGTTAATTTTTCTTATTCTTTATCTTTTCATTTGAATATTTTACATAAATATTAGTATTAACTAATGTTATTTTATTTATAATTTATCTTTATTAGGTTTTATTATGTCATATTTTTTAAATCTTATTATTCTTATTTATCATATATCAAATTTTATCTTCATAAAATAATTGTATTTTAAAAAATTAAAAAGAATTGATAATTAAAATTTTATTACTTTGAACTAATTAAATAAGAACTAACTTATTAAATATTTTCTTATAAAATGACAACTTAAAAAGGAGTTAACTTTTATATATATATATATATATATATATATATATATATAATTAAATATAATAATAATAATAATAATAATATTATAAGTATTTTACATATGTATAAAGAAAAATTAATTAAATGTTTTTTTTACATATATAATTTAATATAAATATAATAAATTAAAATATATATTTAATTAATAATGATTACAAATTATAAATATTTGTTTATGTACAAAAAATAGTAAAATTAATTTATTATAAATATAATCATTTTAAAAAAATAATGTAGATCAAAGACAAGGCAGGGTCGGGAAAACCCAAAATCCAACGGGTAACGGGGATGAAAACTTAATTTTTTAACCCCGGCGGAGATCGGGGGTGGGAGACGGTTAAAAAAGTCAGGGGCGGAGATCGGGGAGGCAAAACTCGTCCTGCCCCTTTGCTATGACCGGTTTGACGAATATTGTAGTTGTGCCCTGACTGATGAAGGACGTTAGTTATGATAGATGAAGCCTTCACATGAAGACTCTCCTCAAATTCTTTGTTGGGATGTAGTAGAGTAGGTTTACCAGAAACCACGAAAGGATGGGCATCTTCCGTTCTCAAGGCATTGAAGGAACAACATTCAAAGAATAGTAGAGGTAGAGGACAAGGACGTAGTGATTGAGGCTGAGGTGGTAAGAAAGAATAAGGAAATAAGCAAAATTGGCAAAGTAATGGATGTGATTGAAGAAGGGTCAATGGACAAGTCATTATAATGTTGTGATATGAATCTCAATTGCACAAAGGGTGATTTAGGATCTTTAGGGTTAGAATCTTGTAGGAAATTTAGGAATTTAGTGATAAGGTGGAAGGAAAGAATTAATCTTCCCAAAGGAGACAACTCACAAAGGATATGAAAGTCCTTTGATACTGATCAAGGATTCTTGAATCACTCAAAAATTTAGGAGAATCACTATCACTAAGATAAAAGAGATAAACTCTAATATTTTTTAATAAAATTATACTTGTTATTTCTGATAAAAATAGTTCAACTTATAAAGAAGTTTTGCCATCAAAGTTACAAATATTCACTAAAGGAAAAAAATATTAATAATGATTCATTAACCTAGGAACTGAAAACTACTTAATGGCTGATTGTTACTAAAATTGTGGCAACCAAAAGTCAATCTGTTATGCACCCTCTTGGTCTCCGAAAAGCTAATACCTAAGTTTCCAATTGGGCCATTATTACAACTTTGAAACAAAATCAAACTAAAACCCACTAATTGATTAATCCAAAACATAATTTGGTCAACCAACAATATTTGTTGAAGAGCTTCCTTTGCTTCCCTCGCTCTAGCCCTTGTCATAGGTCATGTCCACATCATTCTCTCCCTCTTGAAAAGGATTTTTCCTCAAATCGGATTCCTCATCTACATAAAAAAGAGATAATTCTGACAAATTAAATGTAGAACTAACATTATACTCACTTTTTGTGGCTAAATAACTCTCTCTCACTTCAAGTGTTTTACTCTTTTTTTTTTATCACTCTTTTTCTTCTCAAGTGTGAAAGTGATGAGGATCTTATTGAACCTTATGATAGAATGAAGATCTTGAAGATTTGATGAAGTCAAAAGCTCCTTGGGTTAAAGGGTAGAGTGATTAATGAGTCTACATCAATATTAATAGGTATAATCATTCATTCTTCTCTGTTGCATGAAGGTTCATCATTTAAAAGAATTTGAGAATGTCTCTAAAATGTTTTAATCTGTTAAAAATCAGTTTAATCGATGAATATGTTCTTAAGACTAAAGATTTAATTGATATACTTTAAGATTAATTTATTAAAATCAACTAGGAACATTCATGACACTAGTGATAGATCTTCTTGGGAGCTGAGGGGGGTCATGACCACCCCAAAGTTTTGTAACTACCATGTAATTTATGATTTTGACTCCCTAAACATAATGATCATTTAATATATTTACTTGTATATTTACAATTTTATCCTCTTATCACTCCTAACTCTCATATAATTTATGATTTTTTTCCTTAAACTTAATGATCATTTAATATATTTATTTATACATTTACAATTTTATCATCTCACTCTTTCATCTTCTTTCACCCTTTTATATTTATTTATTATTTATTAATAATATATTATTTGACCCCTCCAAAATCAATGGTCAAGATTCATTAATGAATGACAGATTTTTAATTAATGTATTTTCGAAACAATTGATTAAAACCACTTAAAACATTTACTGTCACTGTTTCAATTAATGCACATTTAAATTAATCGATTATTTTCATTAAAGAAGTATTTGAAAACCTTCTATCAGTATTTTAACCGATATAACTTTGAATTAATCGATTAAAATCACTTGAAATATTTTGAAAAGTGTTATGTCGATATTTTAATCGATGTAATTTTGAATTAATCGATTAAAATTACTTAAAATGTTTTGAAAAGCGTGTTATCAATATTTTAATCGATGTAACTTTGAATTAATCAATTAAAATCACTTGAGATGTTTCAAAAAGTGTTCTGCTAGAATTTTAATCGATTAAAACAACTTAAAGAAATTTTTGTCAAATGTTTTAATCGATTAAATCAGGCTTTCATCAGTTAAAGTCACTTATGAAGTTTTGAGAAAATGTTTGACAGAATTATAATCGATTAAACCGCGAATCAATTGATTAAAATAACTTAGAGAATTTTTTGTATAATTGTTTTAATCGATTAAAACATCGTCGCATCAGTTAACATAAATCTGAAAAATAGTTAAGCACATTTTAACCGATTAAAGAAGTTTTAATCAATTAATCAAGAAATAATAATCGATTAAAAGAAAGTTTTAATCGATTAATTAAACCAATTAGTTGGAAAATGTCTCTATATAAACAGGATTGATTCAGGTGTTTTAAAACACACCTTTGAGTAATCAAACAAGCAATCAATAGAGAGCTTTTCAAGAAAGAAGTGTGTGAGTTTTTGTGGAGTTTTTCAAAGTTCTTTCTTTAGGTATTTTTGCATTCTTACTAGTGAAGAAATTCATTTTGTAAGAGCTGCATAATCCGGATTTGATTGTTCTAGTTTCTTTTCTTTGTTCTTTTCAATTATTTACTATATTGTGGGTGTTTGGAAGTGTTGAGCAATGGTTCTGTAGCTGAAATTTGGTTGTAGGTTGGTTCAAAAACTATAACTTGGTTCTTGGTGAAGGTTTGGTGCAAGTATTGGAATTTGGTTCTTGGTGTGGATTGGATGTTTTGTGATTCGAGTTTGTAATCATAAACATAATCAATTTAGTCGAACTCAACTGGAATTTGGTTGAGAATTGGATATAGCCATGTGGTTTG